AATTTATAAAGAACTCAAATATTAACAGAAAGAACCCCAATCCAGTATCTATTAACAACAACAACAACAAAAAAAAAAATTCACAAGAGTAAAGAGAGACAGAAAAACCTAACTAAAACGAAGTAGCTCTACCGGACAGGAAGGGAGATAAGACAAGACAGGAAGGGAGACAAGCCACAGTTCCTCCCGGAGCGGCAGCTCAGTAAAAAGCAATCCTTAGGAACATCACAGACAACACTGATGAAAAATCTATCTCAATTCACAAGTCCTTGAACCCCACCCCACCCCCAACAATGTAAGTGCGTGCTCAGAAAACTAACCAGGACTGAACCGTCCTACTTTCTTTAGTTTTTCTCAGGGGAATCTCATTAGTAGTAGCCCAGGGGCTGAGAGTGTTTCTCACCGGGAGTTGGGGGGTGGGGGTAGACATACATTCTCATTCACCGTCTCCCCGCGGAGGCCGGCATAGCACTACTGGGCTCAAGCTTTAGTTCTCTGCAATTAGAAAGCGCCATCAATTCAGGCAGTGCGCTATTCTTTCTTCCCAGGGAATGCGCCCCGCTCCTAAGCCAAGACTCTGGCTTTTGCAATTAAGACAAGAGCTCATTTTTGCAAACGGAGGTCGGGGGCTATAAGGAGGGCCCCGGAACCTAGCTCCGAGAGGGCACCCCAAAGAGCGAGCCGGCATAGCCACCAGCGAGCAAAGATAAACGTTTTGGCCAACTCAGGGCCTCCCAAAGGCCTTTCTTGAATTACATGGTTTTACGTGCGTACACACAAAACGCGTACACACAAAAACGCGACAGCCTCAAGGTCATGCTGTGAGGTACGTGGGCACTAGGAAGAGGTGCGCAAAAACAGCCCAGGTCCAAGCTTACAGACTTCCTCCCGCTTCCTAAACCCGATAAGTGGGGGTTTTTGTTGTTGTTGGTTTGTTTGTTTCGTCATTAAATTGGATTTTTGTTCCACAGAACAAGATGCCCAGGTAGAAAGGGTGAAGAAGCCGGCCCCTGATAACAGCAGCGCAGGGCCGTGAGGACAAGCCAAGGCCGGGGCCGCTCCGCCCGGCCCGGGAGGCGGGGGTCACGGCTGTGGCGCTAGGCCCGGAACCCCGCTTGGAGAGACTACAGCACTCACCCTGGGCCCGCTGGAGGGTCCCCGGAAAGGGCCGCCGCCCGCCGGCTCCGGGGCGCTCGGGCGAGCACTCGCAGAGGCCGTTGGCCGAGCGCACCAAGGCGCCCGGGCAAAGCAGCGGCGGAGCGGCCGCAGCGGGCCGGGACAGACGCGAGAACGGCCAGGACTGGCCCCTTCTAGGAACCGTAGCGGAAGTAGGCTCCTAATCATGTGACAGAGGAAGGGCGGAAGTTAACGCTCAAGCTCGTGAGACGTCGCTAACGAGCCATTTTTGTTGTGGGCAAAGCGCTCCCTCCTCAGGTTAAACCGCTCAAGTTCTTAGATTGGATTCCTGTTGGGGGATTTTTAGACATCGCGATCTTTGAGAACCTCGAGTTTGCAAGGTAAACTAGCAGCCTGTTTCAAAGAACCGTCTGAATCAAAATTCGTATCGTGCGAGGCCCGAGAATTTGCGTATATAACTAAATATTGGGAGTAATTCCTCAACACTCTAATTTTGGTTTTTCCTAAAACCTACAAATTAAGAATCCGAGAAAAGGGGGAAGCTAAATTTCTCCCTTGAAAATAATAGCTGTCAGAACCCTCTTTCAAATCTAATCATCCAATTTATGGCTCCTCTATGGAAGAATACGGCTGGAAAGCAAGAACCAGGCTCACTCCCTCATAGACGAATAGAATGGAAGCCAAATCAGGAAAAACGACGTGTGCCTCAAAGTTCATAAACAGCCTAACTATTTTATCCACTGTTTTGCATCCCAGGAATCAACCATGAAAAGATTTCTCTCTTTTCCATCCACTCCTATTATAGTTGAAACTGTTGGTGCACTTTAGAAATCCCAGTACTGGGACTTGGGAGGAAGCTAGAGGATCAGGAGTTCCAGGCCAGCCTAGGCTATGTAGGGAGTAGGCGGCCTGTGACATCATCTATATCAAACATACACATTCTTTTCCTTGTGGTTATTCCTTACTAATAAAGTATAACACATCTATATTGTGTTAAACATATGTAATCTAGAGACAATTTCAAGTCTTTGTGGGCATGTACATAGGGTATTTGCAAACACTAAACCATTTTGTATAAGAGACAAACGTAGATTTGTATAGAGCTGTGATTTTGGAATAAATCTCTCACTCCCTTGTGCAAGGGAAGAGTATTTACTCAAGTGGTGCAGTCTTGAATATAAAGCTATTCCAAAGCCAATCTTTGGCGTATTCCAATAATCACAACACTTAGGAACCAGAGATAAGAGGATGTGGGGAGTTTCCGGCTTGCCAGCACAACCAACTGTACCGTTCTCAAAACAACAAAAACAAGGATGATACCCCAGAAATGTTAATCATTCTTTCAAAATACTTTGGCAAGCTTTTTGAATTGTACTCTTGCATCCTTCCTAATATTGGTGTAGGATAAGTAAAATTTCCCTTTACCCTATTAAGAACTCAGTGGGAATCCAGTTAAGTTGACTTAAAACAGTAGCTGAACAGAAGAGAAGCATACAACTTTTATTTAGTAATGTTTGCTTGTACATTGGAGTATAGGGAAATGAGGGCCCAAAGAGACACTTGGGATCCAAAATTTATATTAGAAACTGGCCATTGTAGTAAATTGTAAAAATGTGAGACAACATTTTGGGGGGCCAGGAATTTGGCCCAAAGGGATTTGGCTCAGGGCATTGGATAAGTGCTTAGGAAGATGGGAGTTAGTCTAACTAGATTGTTTGTTTTTCTCATCTTGTCTATATGACTTTGGCTATAAGAACAACTTCCTCCTGGGTACAAGGAAGTTAGCTTTCGTATGCAAGTTTTATTTTAGACTTTTTAACCACCTTTTTTCTCAAAATAATCTTTATTCCAAAGTGGCCTATTGTTGGTGCTGTGTCCTGCTACTTTACTGTGACAGTCTTTTTTCATACATAGTAGTATTCTGTCATTCCAAGTCAGTGCCTTTAGGGTAAGTAGATCATGTGTGATCAAGACATTTAAAAGTGAAGGTCCCACTGTTTCCATTACTTTCTATAATTCTTCAATGTTACAGATTGATATTTTTGTCTCTACTCCCCCTTCTTTTCAACAAAAATCTTCTGAAATAACCATTAAAAAAATAAAGATCCATGATCTACTTACCAAACCCAAGTCTCCTGTAACCCTGATTTGTCATTTATCTTCTGGCATCCTCTGAGTCTATTAAACAAGACTGCTTCACAGCATGTCAGAGTACCTACTCTAATAGTGTTAGGTTACACTATAGTCTTCAAAAAAAAAGAGGAGGGAGGAAGGGCAGGGTGTGTGGTATGGAGGGCATTTCTCTCCCTATTCACATGGAGAGTCTATTCTTTACCGTGTTGTAGATTCATGCTGGGTCTCCTTTTCTTGTCTCACTGATGTGGACATTTCTGTTTATGACTACCGCCTTATAGTATATAAATCCACACAATCTGATCCATTTAGTTTCATCTTGTTGAATTACTTCTAGCCTTTACTATTTACGCTTCCCAGTAGGACTTAAATTCTAATAGGGTTTTACATCCAAAAATGTTTTCTTTTTTCACTTCAGATATTCTTTCTTCAGATACACTTTTCAGTTATGACAAGATTACTTTTTTAGCCGTCAAGATTCATCTACTGTCTTAATTTGATGGTTATTTTGGGTGAGAATGAATATTAAACAGTAGCAGATTTAATATTCTTAACTTCAAAGTTGCTTATTGTTCTTACAGTGGCTATTATTTTTATAAAACAAAACAAACTTATTTCCTTTAAAAGAACAAAGACCTGATACAGTTGTTCTTTTAATTTTATTTTTGTCAAAACAATAGAACTTTAGTTATATTTACAGAAGTATTAGTACATTGTAATATAATTTTTTCAGGATATAACAGCATAAAATAGTCAATATATTTTAAATAAGTTTAACTTGGTTATACAGAAAATATTAAATTAAGTTTAGTGGTAGTAAATTACATTTGAAGTATAGAAAATCCTTGTGAAATTAACAATAAAATTCAAATTTAAACATTTTTAATACTTTTATAAATAAATTAATAATGTTTATCTTGCAAAAACAAGCTGTTGACAAGTTGGTTATTCTAGCACACTGTGAAATTATGAAGTTGAAGCACCAAATTTAAAACAAACGTTTTGTTAATCAAGTTAAGAATTCTTAAAGATTTATTTTTATATATGTGTCTGTGCCTGTGCAAGTGAATGCCACCTGTGTATGGGTGTCCTTGGAGGCCAGTTGGATCTTTTTGAGCTGGAGTTACAGGCAGGTGTGAGCTGCCTGACCTGGGTGTTGGGAACTGTACTCTGGTCCTCTGTGGAGCAGCCAGTATTCTTAACCCCTGAGCCATTTCTCCAGCAAGATGAAGTTAAATTTTAACTTTAAAATTTACTCACAGACATTTGGGAAATAATATATATGGACTGTATTTTAATGCACACCCTTAGAAGTGTGGCTGAATAGCTGTTGATATGGCTTCATTGGGATTTACGTGTTCAGTGTTGCCTGTCTTTCCCCCAGAAGTCAAATACTGATAAGAGGACCAGAGAAAAAAGAGGTCTGGGGGCAAATGGAAGGCAGCCATTTGACATTAGCACCAGTCTGGTAGTAAAATGGTTTTCCCTAAAACACAAACACCTGTGGGTTTTTTAAAAAGGCAATGGCCAAGGGGGTGGGGCCAGTTCCTTGAATGTTTCCCTAGTGAGCAGAGTGCCCCAGAATCATGGGGGAAAACTTTTAAAACAAAATTCTGGGAGGCTAAGATAGAAAAATTGTGATTGGGGGGCCAGCCTTGGCTATATGATGAAATGCCTCTCAGCAAAATGAAAGAGACTTCTGGTTTCCAATTACAGTTTCTAATTTTGCAGGTTTGGAATATTCTGGAATTGCATTGATAACAAGCTCCTGGCTGCTGCTGCTACGACTACTCAGGGGCCACACTGGTCAAGGCTAGTTCCTTCTTTTTACAGCTAGAATGGAACAAGGACAGTGGATGGTTTTTGAATAGGAAAGTTAGGTGAAATACATAATTGAAATGAGATGTTGCACTTCTTAGTTCAGGTGTAAAAATGTCTTGGCACCTGTCATGTGAGTTACAGAGAATGTCAACCCTTGTCTATGTCCTCGGGTCACATTTTCCAATACAAAATAGATGAGATTACAGCACCCGCCTGAACGTAAGTATCAGCACCATCAGCTCCACCTTCGTGGATCGAGGATCAAGAAATATAAGCTTTGCCTTATGATGCCTGGCCTCCATGAGTTATTAAATGCTACTACAACTATTTGACTTATGAAATGTTTGTTTTCTTAATAGTTTTCAAGCTTTTGCTTCTGGGTGACTAAAAGAAGTTAAAGATCATGAACTCCTTGAGCATAGGTCTTTTTTTTTAATTTTAAAATTTTGTGCACATTGATATGTGACTGAGTGTGTATATATATATACACGTGTGTGCACACAAAGGGGCCAGCAGTAGGTGTCACTGTGAATCACCCAGTATGGGTACCGTTGGCTTCTGCCAGAGCAACAAGTGCTCTTAACTGCTGCACCGGCCTTATAGTTCTTATTTTTAAACTTTTTCTCAGGCCTTCTGAATTGTTATGAACTATTGGAAACAGTGGTAAAGGAAAAAAAAAACAAAACAATAATGAGGGGAGAGCCACACCTAAATATGAGACTGGTTGGTTGGTTGGTTGGTTGGTTTTGATGTGTGACAGAGTCTCTCTCTCTCTCTCTCTCTCTCTCTCTCTCTCTCTCTCTCTCTGTGTGTGTGTGTGTGTGTGTGTGTGTTTGTGTAGAGAAGGTCTTGCATATGTGGCAGTCTTTACACAAAGAATAAGTTGTCCTCTCATGATTATATCAGAAACAAGTCTGTCTCACGACCTTCCCCTGAGACCCTGCTCAGTATATGGGACATAGGTTGGTACTGAAGAAAATATTTGTTGGGCTGAATTAAGTAAACTTGGGAATGTATCAATATACTTAAAAGCAAGTTTTAAGACATACAGTAAGGTTTACACCCAGTGGTCTCTCTCTCCACATGGTTGGTGAGAATATATAACATAAAAACGTGTATGTGTGTAATGTTTTCCAAAGGATAAGTTAAAAAAGGAACAAAGTAACAAATCTGTAAAATCGTGTCACGAACTATTTCGATCAAAGAAAAATGTTTGAAGTCTGATACACCAGCAAATGCCTCTCATTCTTTCCTGGGTTATTGAACTACTAGTGAAATTCTTTAAGGCCAGTATCTATAGGAATTGGGATAAAGTGCACATTTAGTAAATAGTCTCCTTGTTACTTGTGAGTACATTGAGAACAATGAAGAGAAATATTTCAGTGTATGTGTATAACATCCTAGTAAAAATTAATCCTCTAAGGGTAAACATTTTATCCCCTTTCAATCTATGGCCATAGTAAAATAGCAAATAGACATCGTCAACAAAACAGAAAAAAAAAACCCATACTTTATATCAAAGCCTATTATGATTCCCTTCAGGAAGTTTCCTTTGGTCCTAGCTTTGGGCCTATTTAAATGAGTCCTGAAACATCATGAACCTCATCCATGTGTGTTCTTGGGCATTGTACATCTCAATAGGTCTGACTATCCAGTTCCGGTCATGATGTGCTCGTGTACTGTATAGCCCATTTCCTTCTCTAGCTGAAGTCTAAGGTCTCAGAAAGGAAGTGGGAGGAAACCAAATTCCTTAGGTCAAAGTGGTAGACAAGGAAAACGTTGAACATCCCCTGGACCAACTCTCCCTTAGCTTGCAGTTCAAGCTCCACACAGACATCATTTAGTCAGTGCTTTGTGTACAAGCGGAATGTGATTTCAGTGATATTTTGTGGACAGCTGTTGCCTTCCTCGAGGGGACTTTGAAACCACACAGGTTTATAGACCCACACTACAGACTAACTGGAATGAAATGCTTTCTGGTGCATTGAAACGTGCCACTACCAGATCGTCACTGAACAACACTGCAAGGTTAGAGAAGAAAATACCCAAGGAAAATCCATGTACTGAGCCGTGACTTTGCATTTCAAGAAGGAAAAAAGTGGTTCTATTTTCTTTGATTTCTTCAGTGTCTTTTCTTCATGCACACCTGACAGCGGCTTATGATTTTTTCTAAATCTCCAGCTTTCATAGTTGATGGAATAGGCTTTCTGAAATAAACATAATGAAAGAACTCATTGATTTGTGGATCAAAGGGGATACTTAGTTTGCTTTGAGTTTCATTAATAAATTCAGCTTATTTTAGTTAGTCTGATTTCAGAAACCTCTCCCTTTATAGAACAGAATTTCTGAAAAGATAAATTTATGTTTGCATATATAAACATCAATATTTTATATTTTAGTTATGTTTCATCAGAATTCACAGAACACAGACTTTCCTGCAAACCTACAGGTCACTTTTTGAAGACTATTCCTTTCCATTTAAATACTCATGAGTCTTCTCATATAGTACTTTAGGATCAGCTAGTGTTTTTATTCAGTAATTTACTATAAACCCATATTGTGTTGAATATGCTTAATGATGACAAGATCATGTGTACACTTGGTCTTTACTGACACAGTGAGAAATAGAGTCTACTTGCTGACTTCAAAATAATTCTAACCTAGGACTGTGAAGGTAGACAGGATTTTATTGGCAGGAGTGAGAGAGTTAATGTAAGGACATCCATACACAGGTAAAATAAAAAGCAGATACAGGCAGGCTTGAACGTTCCACAGTCAAGTCATCAGAGTAAGGCTGACTTTGCACATTACCTGAACATTCTTTCTCGGTTTAACGAAGCCAGCCAGAAGCTGTAGGAGTTTGAATAGTAGTTACAAGTTCCTCGTCCATGGCATTCTAAAAACGGACTGGCTCGGAACTCCTCCAGGCAGGAGCCAGGTGATGCGAGTGCTTGTCCCGCTCCCTCGGAGCCAGCACTTGTGAACTGTCGCAACAAAAAGATCCCATTGTAAACCATTACCTGTTGTATTTCAAATACAATTTTTTACAGTTTTGGGTGGGTAGGGAGCAAAAATACAAAGCAACAGGAACGGAAAAAGAAAACATAGACAGAAATTTCTTCTGTTTTATCCAGATTTATTTACACTCTGGGCATGCTCTAGAAAGAGATACAGTCTTCCCAAGGAAAGAGAGAGCTGTAAGTTCTCTTGCCTTATCTTTCAGCAGACAGGTCAGCACCTAGACCCATGACCACTACTGTTTTCTCTATTTCTCAGTCTGTTGTCTGTCTTTACCAGTGGGATATAAGCTCCATGAGAAGACCATGGTCCCTGCTGTCCTTACTGCCCAGAAGTTGGGACTCATGATGGGTGCTCAATATGGTTTTTAAGTTAATTACTGATCGGACAGACAGCTAGCTGTGAGGGAAGAGGGGCGAATGCTCTGTCCTAACAAGGCTGTGCAGAATGTGAATAGTGATGCATACATGCCATTAGCACTGTAGAGGGTTGGTCCGTGCTCTTAATTTAGCTCTAATGTCAGGGCTTTTCTTAAGAGGCTTCTTCCCATTGTTAGTGCCATAGGAGCATCAGAGGGGCATAGTACGAAGCATATGTTGTCCCTTCATAATCATGATACCTTTAGAAAACAGCTCGATTTTTACTTACGAATCCACAGACACTAAGAAGTACTCCCCCGGTGATCAAAGCATTACAGACAATGAAGGTAAAGAAACCATCACAAAAATGAATACACAGGCATTCTATTTCCATTAAAGAGTAGCCGTTTCTCACTTAAATGCTACAATTAGGGATTTGTGGGGAATCTGAGTTGTCTGTTTAAAGTTATAAATTATATTTGTTTGACGCGCGTGTGTGTGTGCACGTGTGTGTGTGTGTACATGCATGCCACAGCAAATGTATGGCAGCCAGAGGACCGCTTGGGGAAGCTTATTCTCTTTCTACCGTATAAGTCTTAGGGATTTAATCCAGATCATCAGACTTGGCGGCAGTGCCTTCCCCCACTGCGCCGTCTTGCTATCTCTTATTTTCCAGTGCTTCATGACTTTTCAACACTATCAACGTTATGACTCTTTTGTTGTTAATGTTTTTATTTATTGAGACTGTTTGTTTTTTTTTGTAGCCCACCCTGACCTCAAACTTGTTACGTAGTCGAGGATAACCTTGAATTTTCGATCCTCCTGCACCTACCTCCTGAATGCTGGGTTTACTCAGTTCTCTGGACTACTGAGGAATGGAACCAAGGACTCTGGGCACGCTAGGAGAACACCACCTGCGGAGTTGATTGCCCAGACCTTTGAAGTGTGTTTTCAGATTGTCAAACATCTACGGCATATTACACGTATTACCAGGTAGGGGATCCTATTTTCTATACAAGATTCTATAGGTAATAATCATTACTTCAAATGTGCTACAGTTTTTTTCTTCTTACCATAACGAAGGAAAACCCTTTCCAGAGAGAAACCCAGCCATGGGGACATGGAGGGACAGCTGGCGTTTGGCTGTGAACAGCTATGGCCATGGCAGGACCTTCACAGACCATACACCTGGAAAATGAAACCAATAGTATGACGGCCACTTCCTACCCTTACAGTCCTTACAAGTTAAGCAATCTACTTACAAAATGAGGGGACTGGGTTTTTACCTGCTAATATAGGGTTCAAGAGCTCTGCCCGTAACTGGAGCCATGTCCATTGGCATCACAGCTGGTGTTGACAGCCAGTATGAATAATCATTCCGTGATGCAAAGTTACATACATTATTGATGTTACAGAATAAGAATGGCATTGTGGAGAATCGCTGCAGGCAGCTGCCCAGAGTGCCTAATAAAACACGAAGCTGAGTATCACTTCCTGAATTACGGTCTCTGTATCATTATTTAGACATGGGTTAATTATTACATAACCAGTGAGAAGTCTTCACAAAAAGAAAAAAGAAAAAAGAGAGAAAGGAAAAAGAAAAGAAAAAATAGAAAAGAATTATTTGCAAAGTGTGCTGCTGAAAATCTGTAAGAATGATGAAAGTCGAAGCTCCAAATGGGTAAGCAAACATTCCCCTATCAAGGATGCTTTCTACAGCTTTCCTAACCAGCTTGGATAGAACATGGGGCCCGATGTTGTTCAGCTGGGACAATGTCTTTGGTATTCATAGTAGCTAATAACCAGAGGAAGCTTTAGAAAAGATTTATTTGAGGATTAACAAAAGACAGATAGTTGGGGCAAAAATTGTTGGCATTGACCAACCTACGTGGGTTCCTTCTAGCAGTTTACACATCAGGGTGAAAAGTAAAACTTGGGTTACAATTGTTTCCTCAAATGCCCCAGAAGACGCTAACAGTTTACAGTGACCTTCAGAGAAAGCTCCTATCCGATAAATATTTTAGAGTCTGCATCATAGACTGGAAACTAGAACCTTACCAAGGTCTTGTCCGTGTGCACGCTCGTTTCCTTGCACAAAAAGAAGAGAAAACCCACTGTAGAGCGGCTGTGTTCCTTCAGGACACAAAGGAATGGCTGTGGTTTGACTGTGTCGGGTGAAGACAAACCCTTGCATTATTGTCCCAGAGGCAGATGGGCCCCTGTCTCCAGGTTTTCCCTTTAAGCCTGGCAATCCGTCTAATCCAGGTGGTCCTTTGAAAAACAAATTATACATGTTACAACATAACCAGACTCTCAAACCTGTTTTCCAAAGTAGCAATTTAAATCAATTTATGTGGCCCATAAGCCTCTGATGTGAAATGGAGTCTTAGGAAAGAATGGGGGTTATAAAATGGCTAGGCTGGTTTATTTTAGTTATCAAGAGGGTTAAGAACCACTAAGGAGCTTACTAAGACATACCTGGGGGCGTCTGTGGAGTTTTTAGAAACAATTAGATCATGAGGGTTCTATCCTAATGAATGCATTGATGCCCTGATGGATTCATAGATGATGATTTTATTGGAAGTTGGTGAGGGGAAGAAGTGGGTTTTTTTCTTAAATACTGGATCTTGCCTTCGTCCTTTCTGTAAGGCTTTTCCTGTTTTCTGTCTTCCATGCAGTGAGCAACGCTCCTCCATCATGTGGCATCCCAGCGTAGAGCCAAACAACCATGGACTGAGCCCTCTGAATCCAAATGCCAAAGTAAATCTTCCCCCTCTACATTATTATTATTTCTACTACTACATTATTTATAACAGGTGTTTTGTTCAATGACACAAACATAATGTATACAAAAGAAAAATAATATTAAAGATTAGTTTATCACAAGATGCATCTTATCAAAGGTACTTGTATGTATCTTGAGTTTTTTGAGGTCTGACCTTTTTAACCCTTGAATTCCCTTGGGATGTCTGGCATAGCATCCTGCATTTGAGTTGGTCGTCCTCGTATACATTTTGTATGTATGAATGAATTTATGAATGGCTTGCCTGACAATGTGTGTGTATGGTGGGCGGGGGGCACAGAATCAAATAAAATACCTACAACGTGTAAGGCTGTTCACGTAGATAATAAAAATTACAAAGTTTTTGATAAATTCAGAAAACAATTATGTAAAACTTTGAAAGTTCTTTCTAGAGGTGCAAACTTTCAGAAAGTGTCTGATACATTAGCAAGGCAAGCAGACTTCTTTCTACTGTAACAAGGGTTCTTGGTTATTCGGAAGAGTCACAAACCAAGCAGTATTTATGCTTCACCTTTCCTCTGCAGTAGGAAGAGGCTGGTTTACTTTTGTCACTTCCTAAATCAGACCCAGTGAGTTAGGGGTCTCTCCCCCTCTTCCCGTCCCTCCATCTCCTTCTGGGAGCCTCACAAGTTCACAACGGCCTTGACTTTAAAACATAGGAGGCAGACACATTCTCTATGTTCCCTGACCTCTGCTCTTACTCACAGAGGGCGATGTTTGGTCGTGTTGTGGTTTGAATCTGAAGTGATTCCATAAGCTCAGAGACTTATGGTTTGAATGCTCAGCTCTTCCTTGGCTTGTTGCCCTACTTTAAAGGCTATGGATCTTTAGGAGGTGGGGCCTGACAATTTGACCTGCTAGTAAGTCTAGTTTTATTTGCCTGCTGACGCACGAAGAGGTGACAGCTGCTTCTGTTGTCACAAGGTGTCCTCACTGCTGTACCTTTCCTGTTGGTGAGAAATCTTTCCTCCCTTAAGTTGCCTCTCTTGAGGATGTTCATCACAGTGATGCAAAGCTAACTAATATGGACCTTAAGCAGAAGATGCATTCTAGTGTCTCCACGGCAACTGTGAAATGATTGGCTGAGCAGGGCAGAAACTGGAGGTAAGATTTCATGCTCATGCAGCCAGCCAGTGGTGGTGCACACCTTTAATCCCAGCACTTGGGAGGCAGAGGCAGGCAGAGCTCTTTGAGTTCAAGACCAGCCTGATATACAAAGTGAGTTCCAGGACAACCAGCACCACATACAGAGAAACCCTATCTCAAATTGTGCCCCCCCCTACACACACACAAAAAGATTTCATGTTCATACGCACTACCCAAACTCTATACTGCATCTTTATAAATCTAAGCTTGAATCCTTGTATCAATCCTATGAGGCCTCTATAGTTTTAACTATTTTCTAATCAATTCCCAGCACAATTTGATTTGAAGTATCCTATGCTTACTGTCACCTCATAAAATACAGCTTTGATAATAGGAAAATTTGTATAAATTAATAAAACCATTTACAAAAGCACATTATGAATGATGTCAAATTGTGTTCTTTAATGTAGATTCCTAGCAACACTAGATGAAAAGTAACCCACAGTTAATATTACAATTAATATTATAGTATCATATTTGAATTGAAGTGCCTAGTCTAGCTGGGAAATCATACATAGAAGTTATGCTTTCATTAATAAAGTCAGTAATCTTAGGCAGTTAGATATTTCAGTATTTTCCAGAGGGGTACTTTGAAACTTTTGCACAAGGTAGACTTAGATACATAGCTTATATTCTAAGTAGAACATTATATTTAAGAGACTTTTTTTTAAACAGAATATACACCTGAGTAACTACTTGCATTCAAAATAGTATAGTTAAGAGGTGACTTTCCTAAATAAGGAAGCAAAGTTGTTCTATTCATGTCAAGGTATCATTTAAAAAACAAACAAACAAGCAAACATGCATTTATGATGTTTACAAAAGACAAAAACCCCAAGTTAGCATGATGTACTTATTGAGAACCAGACCAAGCCAAGGAAACACTAATGTACAAAGCAGGAACATAGCTCCTTCTCTAAACCAGAAACACACTTGACAGAATCAGTAAAAGCCTGGGGCCAGGGCCTTGAGCGCTTTTCCCTGAGACCCTGACCTATGGAAAAGGAACGCAGTTCTTTCTCTAAAACCCAGGATATACCTGGCAGAGCCATATTGATCTGGGGTGAGGACCTTGGGGAAGCTGTGGCTTAGGATCCTGAGAACTAAATTTTTCCCATGCTAAGGAGCTAAGGCTATCAGTCCCAAGGCTGCCCTGTGCTCAATCCCTGATGCCCTTCAGGTATCCTGTGTTCTCCTTGAGTGATATAGGTTGATTAGCTTCCCTCTAGTCCTCCTGTTATAATGATATCTTTTCACCCACACGGTCCCCTTTCTCCCCTGGAAATGGTACATCAGGTGCTGTACTTCTTAACCAGCTTGCCTGGCATAAGACATAGATTATGTAAGACCTCTCTATCCCAAACTTTCCTATCTTCTTGTCTTCTGATCTCCTGGCCCTCCCGCTTAGGATCCTGTCACTGAAGAGCCCCTGCTGGTCCAGGTCACACAGCTCCTGTAAGAAACTATTAGCCAACAGAACACCTGTAGGTAATTAAGGAACAATTTGCCTTTCTGAAAATAGGTTACTAACTAGTGCCTCCTCCGTTCTATTTGTTCATAGCCAAAGATTTACGCTGTGACTAAAAATGAAGAGTACATTTGCTCAAGGCAGAATGGATGGTATAGTCCAGCCATTTGTGACTCTTCTTCCTTCCTAATGAGCAGATGGCACCCTGCCTTTGTTCTAATCTGAACAATAGCACTCACCAGAAGCTCCAGAATGCTCGCTCTTTCTTACAGTCACATGATCACTCACAAGCATAAGTAAGTCTTCTCTGAACCTTGACACAATCCTGCTTCGGAAAGGGAGGCAAGCTGCGTGTTTACCTTGCTGGCCTTTAGAGCCTTTGTTGCCTCTTTCACCAGCTGCTCCTGGAGATCCTGGTTTTCCATCCTTGCCTGGTTTACCTTTTGGTCCACAGGGCCCTAGGCAAAAGGCAGTGTTGTATGACATGCTATCATATTAGAATAAGAGGTCAGGCTGCCACCCATCTGACGAAGCATAGGACTTTTTCAGTATCACCAGCCGTGTTTGACATCCTAGGAAGGCCTTTAGTCCTGAGCAAACATGTCATTGTGCTCACCGACTTCCCAGAATGCCTTAAGAAACTATGAATATATGAAAGTGTGTGCTGCCTTGTGTTGTTTTGTTCAGAATTCACAATGCCCATGGAGTGATCAAACCAATAATACCTTTCTTATCTCTCGTGTGATTCAGACAAACTTAGAAAACAAAAGTCCTGTTCAAAAGTCTTTTCCAATATGCTAATATGTGAGAGGTTAGGTTCAATGTCCAAATCTCAGTATTCTGGAAAGGTTTTGAAGTCATTTTTTCCTAACACCTGGCTATACAAATTATTAGATGCATCCACATATGCAGAATGTGGGTGTAGTTAGGCATTCATTTCAAACCTGAACCCGAGAACTGGCATTTGCCAGAGACAGATATAATACCTTATCAAAACAAAGCAGCCTTTTAAGGAGTGTTTTTTCCCCTACTCTGTACCATGTCCAGAGGCTTGTATAAGGGTCTAAACTCTTTTTTTTTCCCTGCTGATCAAGGGTAAATGAGCCCAGTCCTAAACTGATTGTACAAAACATTGCAGTGTTTGGTGTTTTCTGTGGAGTTCTCTTGTCTGCTTGCCAAATGCTTCACGGATTTTCTTCCTTCACCCATTACTAAGGCTCCAGGTCACTGAGGCCAGTCTCGCACCTGGGATTCCAGGCAGTCCCAGTGACCCAGGATCTCCTTTCATTCCTGGCTGTCCAGGTGGACCGGGTGGCCCTGGGCTTCCCGGAAGGGAGATGATCTTACGTGTACCAGGTTTTCCACGTTCACCTATTAACATAAACACAATGAGAAGATGGCTTCACGAAACTACCGTTCCTTTAGAGAGAACAATACTAGAGAAATAGATATAATTACCAGGTGGTCCTTTCAGCCCAATGGGTCCTGGATGTCCAATTGATCCAAGAAATCCTGGATTACCCTTCTCTCCTAAGGAGGATGAAGAGGAAGAAAGAAACAAAGGGGGGAAAACCTTATATTTTACTAGTCACAGGGGAGTGTTCCTGAGAGTTCACTTTTTGAGTTCAGGAACCAATGGACTATTCAAGTAAGTTATGAGGTCCTATTGAACCCATGTTAAGACCTCCTGATGATCTTTTACGTTTAGTTTTCTATGTTACCTACTTTTTTTTAAATCTTGTTCCAGCTGTACAGATAGCCCAGAGTTCATTATATCAGAAATTCTCATATACATTTAATTAGGTAGCAAAATGGTTAACATTTCACTTCCATTCATAATCTTTTATACAGATAATAAAAGGTGACCAAGAAATATCCATCAATTTGGAGAAATACTCCTTCAAAGACTATTAAGGTGCATAGACATGGACTGGGCATGTAGCCTTTAATCCCAGCACCAGGAAGCTGAGGCAGGTGGGTCTCTGTGAGTGTGACACTAGCTTGGTCTACATAGCAAGTTGCACAACAGTCAATACTACATAGAGAGACCCTGTCTCAAAACAACAGTCAATACTACATAGAGAGACCCTGTCTCAAAACAACAGCATCGCATCTACTTACTTAAGATATTTTAATATTAAATATGATACCAATAGGTGAAATATAGTTTGGTTGGACTTAGGCTGCTGGTCATTAGTCCCAGCACCTGAGAGACAGAAGCAGGAGGACTGACTGCAAGTTTAAGGCTCTCTCAAGAAAGCAAAACAGAGAAAACAAACAAACAAACAAAATAATTAATTACTGCACCAAAAGTTACCTGACAACTACTTTAGAAATTGTCCGTTTACTCTGAGAAATGAAAGAAAGTATGAATGTTTTCTTATGACTATGAGAAGCAACCTAAATATTTTGGTGATGGAACTTTTTTCCAAATAAAGTAGTGAAATCTCATAGTAGATCCAAACCAGGGGTTTGATTCTGAAAGCTAACTGATTGTGTCCCGTGGGAGATATCACAGGGTTGGCTGTAGGAATCTCCTCCTGCTTACCTCTAAATACTTAAAGCATTGAAAGATGCTTCGCTTTAGTGGAGCCTTTATATGCTTTTCCACTGGCCGTGTTTTTTTCTGAAACTTGTGAAGATGATGTCATTAACTTTGCTCAGGAAGGCCTGACTATATTCACCTGACCCACACCCAGTGGGGCACCTCACCAACACTCATAAAGATTCATCGTCAGATAACTGCTCCTTAAAAGTCTGGAATCTGAAGAAACTCTAAAAAGATGTTTTAAAGCCCACCTGGTCCTCGTTTGAACCTAGAAACAGTTCTCCTGCATGGAAACTTGGCCTTGTTCGTGTGGATCCAATTGTTCTTTAGTATTTCTACAGCCTGTGATAAGAGATCCCTGCCCTTACGAAAGTCATACTGGGGGGAGTAGACAGTTAAACAATGAAACAAATTTTAAAAATTTGCATTAGGTTGTAGATACCCCCCACCCCCACTCCTGGGGCTGAATTTCACTGCATAACTTTGGGAGGCCTGGAATCCACAATATAGAGCAGGTTGGCCTTGAATTTCTGGGGATCCTCTTCCTACTGCCTCCCAAGTGCTGAAATTACAAGCATACTTTACTGGCATATCACAGTAAGATTATAATTGTTTGGGTTTCAGTTATAGAGTCCTGATGAAGCTTTGGGGTCAGTCCTTATACTACAAATAAATACATTGCATAAAACACAATCTACATAAAAATTCACTTGACCCACACTAATGGTCTGGTGGCTGCTGTTTTAGATGTTTTTAGCTTTCTAAATTATGAAATTGATTGAAGAGAGCCAAAGTCTTAAAAATAATGCTGTGAATATTGATGTAGTATGCCACCCCTCATCCCAATACATTAAAAAAAACCCAAAGGTAACACTTTCAATTGTCTCTAATTTTCTTATAGTTTTCATTATTATGCTGTAGATTTTATCTCAGCCCTGTGGGTTCAGGTGCTAGTGGAGTGTTCACATTGAAATTCTGTTTGTAGATCCTCACCCCACGGTCCTGTTTGTACCATTCCTCACTGTCTCTTGTGGCCAATGATGTGCAGAGTTACAGATGTGATCTGAGTAGCAGTGACTGTATCTGTAAGAGCAACAGTGTCAAAATAGTACCTTTTATGCCTGGAAATCCAGGGAATCCCGGATCACCTCGGAGACCTGGAAGACCTGGGATACCCGGTGCTCCCTATATTTGAGCAAGGGGAAGGAGCAGAACCACAAAGTTTTAAAAACACAACACTCATAACAGATTATTTTTTAAGCAAAAGATATAACTTTATATTGGATAAGAATAAGGAGAAATTAACAGATATCACTTTTACCTGTCAGTTCAGTATTTTGCCTATCTATAGCTCTTATACTCCTTAGAGTTCTTAGGACTATTTGAAACAACACACACACATGCACACACACACACACACACACATGTGCTCGCACACGCATGCACACACACACGCTCACACACACATGCTCTCTCTCTCACACACACTCTCATACTCGCACACACGAAACACTAACATCCAATGTTAGTGTACACTGTTTTAGCTTTGAATGCATTTAAATGGAACTGCCCTGTATTTCAGGTCATTTCAGGAAGAGTAAACCTGTGATTTTTGTGAACACAATGAGAGCCATTGTTGAACCCAAGTGTCGTTCTGCTAAACTGGCAGTGTTCTAAATTCCTCCTGATGAGGGTGGCAGAGAAGGAAACTGTCTGGAGATGGGAGTGGGGTGGAGAGTAAGGGTAGAGGTTGAGCCTGCTAAGTAGAAGGAGCTCACATTGTTGTGGGAGTAAGAGACACTCAAGGACAGCCCTGAGAGAAGAAAGGGGCAGGGCTTCTGAAAAGAGAAATACTTTAGTTCTACTCCCATTATTCCTAGAAATTGAGATAGAATGCTATTGAAAACAATGAACTTAAAATCGTGAATAAAGTGCCAGGAATAACGCAGGTTGCTTTAGAGTCAGCTGCCTCCAGAGGAAAAAGACAGTAGTCCGTTTGCTGACACAATGTGGTCTGAGATTAAAAGAAGAGAGAGAGGAAAGGGAACCCTGTGCTCAGGGACTCAGGCTTCTGACAACTGCCTGTTCTCTTTAGTAAAATGTAGCTAAGGAGAGTCAGATACCAGGGTCAGCCCTCGGGTGGCAAGGGAGGTCATTCTGTGCAGAGAGGGACTTCTTAAGAGTCTGCTTATCAGGACATCCCTCAAGTTGAATCATTTTCCCTTTGGAAATGACCTTGAAACCATTCAAAGAATTAAGACAAGTCCTCTTTACAGACTGGACTTTCTATCTGCCAGTGTCCCTGGGAGAACTTTAGATGTGATCATCAGATCAATAACGAGACCTTCCAGAGCATCAGAGGGTACATGAGTGACATCTACAGACTGGATGGAGGTGATAATATCTCAGAAAGTAGATTCTAGAAACTAAATAACAAAAGAGATTAAAAGAGTTTTACACAGTTTCTATTAGTATCCATGCCTCAGAACCTCCATATCCACCCCTAGTGTGGGTATTAAAGGCGGGGTGGTGGGTTGGGTCATAGAGTCTGTATATTTATGTGTTCTCTTCACTGTGTCTTTGTGGTCACAGTGGTTGCTACAGAACTCTTAGCTCCTTCTCCAGCACCATGTCTTAACTGCAAGCCACTATGCTTCTTGCCATGATGATAATGAACTTAACTTCTGAAACTGTAAGTCAGTCCCAATTAAATATTTTCCTTTCTAAGAGTTGCAATGGTCATGGTCTCTCTTTACAACAATAAAACTCTAACAAAGACAAGGTGGTTATGAGCTGTCTGATGTGGGTGGTGGGAACTGAAGCCAGGACCCCTGGAAGAACAACAGTTGTTCTTAGCCACTGAGCCATCTGTCCAGCTGTGATGTATTGTGTCTTAGTCTAGTAAATGAGACCTTCATGACCTCTTTTCAGGCCTCTGATCTTTGGTTCAAGGTCAACCCCTGCCTTCAGTTTGTACACATGCACAGTGTCTTTAGGCCTTTTAGCCTTCATCCTTGCCTTTTGGATCCTCCTGGATAACTGGTGTGCATCTTTTCAGACTCAGGCCCTGAGCGCATTTCACAGAGGAAATGACGTGTCCTCCCTGTATTCCTTCAGCTCCTCACCTTTCCACTTAGCGTGCAGTGTGAGAATGACACGCCTCAGTGTCTGCCTCCTTCACGTTAGGATGCTTTGACTGGAACAGGGCAGACACTCCATAATGAGTATTGAACCACAGCTGCCTATCCAACACCTCTTTCTAAGAGACCGAGGAAAACAGAAATGGGCTTACTGAATGGGTCACTAAGAGAATTCGGGAGAGGTGGGAGAGGTTGAGGGAGAGGCTCAGAAATGAGAGGTCTTGGGCTGGAAGCCCAGGAGCTGGCCAGAGAACAGGATGACATCATTGGAGGTAAATGTAAAAGTCCTGTGCTTGCATCTCAAACACCAATGGCACAAAGCTAAACAAGGAAACTGTGGAAGAAACACTGATAGAGGAGAAACTCAAAGTAATAGAATTGGTGTCGTAAAAGATTTACTAGTAGATTTTCTTAGGCGACATTTATCACATAAGGTAGAATTTGGCTGAAGGAATGCTCTCTCTGAACTACACCAAAGAGAAGTTGCTAACCAGGCCTGTTAGAGGTGAGCAAGATTGATGATGCTAGGATGTAAATGTTCACCAAGACTGACCAGATATTAGGCTTTTCACCAAAGAATATGCCTCTAACAGGATGCTCAAGGGGAGGGGCAGCGGGAGTTACAAGTCCAAAAAGTCCCTGGTTCTCTCCTTGAGAAAAGCATAATTTTGTCAGCTGGCCAAGATGAACCTGGGTAACAACTATTTGAAAAAACAGTACAACACTGGTTTGCTTGAAATAATTCTAGCAATATCTTTGCTATAGAAATCTCCCATTTGCCTACATAGCCAGATTTATAGTCTCTGGTCTCTGCTTAAGTTGTTCAAAGTGTAACCTGGAGCCATGACTGGAGAGGTGTTTTTGTATGTAGTTTGTTTCTTCCCTTGTTGTTTTTGGAGTGGGATAGATGATAGCGTATGTGAAATGCATAAGTGTAAGGTGTATATAAACTAGTAAAACCTTCTATTGGAGACAAGCTTCTCTTGGGCCTTAGATAGGGTCGAACACGTGCCAGTAAAAAGCCTTTTCCTTTATTAATTTATAGGTATGTGGAGTGACTTCTCTCTGGGAAGGAAGATTATTTCTACAACAACATTGCAGAAGGTTTGAAGAAATGTCTTGTGAGCCCAGCCGACTCTAAGCTCCGTGTAATTACCAGTGTGGCCATGAGTCAGCTGAGTGGCCATGGGAATTTTAGGTTGAATTCCTAAAATGGTAACGTTTGGGTCAGTGAGACACTTCTTTCTCTTAGCCACTCACTGGGGGACTTAGCTCTTATTTACTCCATGGTTTTTCTACTGCTGGCTTCATTTTTTAAAGGATCTTACTGTTGAGCTGGGGTATATTCAGGGTAGAAGAAAGGCTGATGAACAACAAAACATTCTCTCAGCTCTTTCATCATTTTATTTTAAAAGTAAAAATATACCTGTCATAGCTCGGTTCTTTAAAAAAAAACTTAGCTGGCATATAGACAAAAGGTATGATATAAGATCTAAAGTGTCATGCAAACATAAGCCACAGTTATTATTTGGTGAACTTTATAAGGACATTATTTATTTGTAGATAATTCGGTAGAGCAGAGAAAAGCAAACTTGGGTAGTGATGTGTGCTTGGAATTGTTGCCCAGTAGGACACAGAAGAAGTTATTACAAATCTCCTAGAACCAGGTATAAAATAATAGGAAGACATGGAAATTACATTCAAACATTGGTGCTATGTGGTGGGTATAAAATGGACATATTTATAGGCTAGCAAAGGTTATTTAGAAAGCAAATGAATATGGTACCATCAAAAATGGTACCCATCTTGAGGCAGCTGTCAACCACCAGGTGTTTAATTTTTTTCCCTGAGTTTAAATAAGCAAGTGTCAGAGGTTTATGCCCTGTAGATCCATGAGTTAAAGGCCTTTTGTAGAGGTGAAATCTTTGCAGCCCTTAAAATTTTTTGATTTCCTGGCCTCTGTGGGATCTTGAATGCATCACAGCACAGATGTGTCATCACAGCACAGATGTGTCATCACAGCACAGATGTGTCATCACCGCACAGATGTGTCATCACAGCACAGATGTGTCATCACAGCACAGATGTGTCATCACAGCACCACACAGATGTGTCATCACAGCACCACACAGATGTGTCATCACAGACCACACAGATGTGTCATCACAGACCACACAGATGTGTCATCACAGACCACACAGATGTGTCATCAGTAGTGAATATCTGGTATTCCGGGTGCAGCTGATCATGCACAACAGTTCACCAGAGTTAATAGGTCATGAAGAGTGGACAGGTATGACCAGTACTGAGATATACAATATGGCTGCAGTATAACAACAGTAAGTCACAAGTGTTAATAACATTACACACTCACCGGGTGCCCTGGTGGGCCCATGTCGCCTACAGTTCCAGGTAGACCTTTGGGGCCAGGTAGGCCCATAAATCCTTTGTCACCTTTTATGCCTTTTACGATAAGTCCTGGAGGTCCAGGGGGACCTGGCTTTCCTGGATTCACAAAGAGCCCATTAGAGTTGCCAGTAAGAGATTCAGGAGAGTGGGTCATGAGAGTCAGGGATAGGAGAAAAGTGAAGAAAATGAAACGAGACAAGAAGCTCTGAGGTAATATGAGGAAGACAACCTCTGATGTCAAATGTGACTTTCATACCTGGACTTCCTCTTAGGCCAGGAAGACCTCTGTTTCCTTTTGGGCCAGGGACAATTGCCCCAGGTAGACCTGGTGGTCCTGGGAGTCCACTGATGCCTGGGGGTCCTTGAGGTCCAACATCTCCCATGGTCCCCTTCCTGCCAGGGAGGCCAGGCAAGCCTGGAGCTCCCTTGTCGCCTTTGACACCTGCAAAAGAAAAAGGCTCGGTTGGGTTTATAGTGTGTGGTTAGCTTCAGTAATATAGGCACTTTCTTTGAAAATGTTTAAATTCATAATTTATTTGCCTTTTTAGAAAAGAGGCTGAAGAACAAAATTGTAGGTCTTCCTTGGCCTAGGCGTTGATCTAGGAAAAATCACTATACAATTACTAATCTTTGTTGTCTTATTTTATTTGGTGTGTGTGTGTGTGTGTGTGTGTGTGTGTGTGTGTGTGTGTTTCATGCTCCTGTGTCTTATTTTAATGAAAATTCTCTCTCAGTGAACTTAGAGATCACTGATTTGTCTGGAGTAACTGACTACCAGATTCCAGGGATCTGCATGTCTCAGCCTTCTGAAGTGCTGGTATTTCAGATCCTGCATGCTTCATGCTGACTGAGCCATCTCCCACTCTCTCATTGCTTAATTTTAAAGTCAAAATACACCTGTCATAGCTCAGTTCTTAAAAAGATACATTTAGTTAACATGGAGACAAAAGGCACGATATAAGATCTAAGCTGTCATGCAGACGTAAGCCACACTCATTATTTGGTGAATCTTTAGAGCAACATTATTTATTTATAGATAATTCAGTAGAGCAGAGAAAAGTGAAATGTCAGGGTAGTGATGTGTACTTGGAATTGTTAGACACAGAGAAGTTATACTCCTGCTCAGTTTCCTGAATAAATCTTCCCCATAGCCATGATACTGCATCCAGGAGGGATAAACATAGCAAGAGATGTGAAAGACGACCCCAGAAAGGTCACAGCTTAGTACCAGGTATTATTTACCATCTCAGCAAACCTTCAAAAACTCTGCCTTGACATTCCTGGATCAAAGATGTAGTAGAGATTGAAAACAACCTCTCCTTTTTCCATCTCTGTTTTTCTTAAAATTAAGAAATGACTTATGTATTTTATTTTTTTGTGTATGGGTGATTTGCCTGCATGTGTGTATGTGCTCCATGTGTGTGTCTAGTGTCCAGAGAGGCCAGAAGAGGGCGTCAGATCCCCTGGAACTCGAGTTGTATTGGTTGTGAGCCATTATGTGCATGCTAGGAACTGAACCCATGTCCTTACAATAACGGCAAGTGCTCTTAACATCTAAGCCATCTCTCCAGTTCCCTCTGTGGTATTCTTGAGAGGAAATGCATGACTCTGGAAGTGAGGGTGAGGCCGGTGACTGGAGGAAAGTCGTGGGCAGAGCACTGTTGGAGAGTAAAGACCTGGGGTGATAAAGGAAATGAAACTGGTGGATGCTAAGCTGTCGTCTGTTGTGTGTCCACAGCCTTTAGTCTATGGTGCCTGTAGTTTATGCTGTGGGAGAAGGCGGTCAGAAGACTTCAGTTGTCTGTGCTCCGCAGTGACCTCACACACTCATATTATGGATTTTCTATTACATTTTTTGTTGAAATGATTCCTTATTGTCTAATATGAGTTCTTTTAAGCATATTGGAGAATAAACTAATTAAGCCAATTCCCATACTCCAAGTTTCAACGAACTCTTCATGTTTTGTTATCCCAGAAGTATTGAGGCACGTGATCATTTACATGACTGGACTATCTGTTATTTTTAATTTAAAGCTTTTATTTGTTTTTTTTTTGTCTAAGGTGTGATTTTTTTTGAAATTTTATTTGCAGTCGAATCCAAAGTAATGCAAATACATTTCCTCCCAGTTTTGAGCTTAGCCTAACAATATGAACAGAAACGTTTCCTTTGCCTACAACTCTACTACAAGACATTGGGAGAGGGAAAGGCCCTATGCTCGTCAGAGTTGGAAGGCTCTGGAAGGTGCATGAATACTGAGATTGACCAAAAGGACAATCAAGTCATTAAGAAATAAGGGGAAAGGAGCAGCTCCTGTCTCCACTCCAACTGCAGCCCAGTCCAGTTCCACATCAACCTGTCCTTTGCGGGTTCTCATGACATCATTCGTTATGAATAAAGTGTAGTAGATGCTTGAAACACTCCTATAGACAAGGCTGATAAAGACCACTCAAAGGTACAGACGATCTGCTGTCTCTCTTGGCTTCTTTCTCTATAAGATGGAAAAGAGATCAAAGAGTCTGTTTCTCTTATGACATTAGCCTGAGAAAGGCATGCCTGCAGTTGGTAAAAAAAAAAAAAAAAAAAAAAAAAAAAACATAGACTTTGAGGAACATGTTAGATAAGTCGTCATGTCTCAGGTGTTGAGAGAGGTACAGCGTAGCCCTTGACAAACCATAGCATGAACCCCAAGCTCAGTGCAGGGGCTGGAATCAAAGTGGGAAGGGGCAGCACTACCACTGTGTCTCAACATAGGATGCTCAGAGGGAAACCAGCTCCCCCTGCATCCTTTTAGGAGTCAATTCATTGAAACAACCAACTAACAACAACAGCAAAACAAAGATATACAAATTCTTTTTATCTTTACAAACTTTCACAGAGGGGAGATCCCCAAAGCCAAGTCACAGCTTTGGATTCCTTCCTTCGTTGTGATAATAAACAGTTTTAATTGACTACTAAGACCTTAAATACTTAATGCCACCATGAGGGCATCTTTCACTTGCCAAGTTACATTGTCTGGTAAATCAAAAACAGAGAACTAGATTCAGTTAAGATCAGGGAAGAAGAAGTGCCTACCTGGAACACCAGGGCTCCCTTTTGGGCCTGGATGGGCCCCCAGCAAGCCTGGAAGAGGTAATTTGGGTATATCAACATTCAATTCATCTTAGTACATCATATATATGAAGGAAGTACAATTGGTGCATGCTGAGAATGTGTTAGAGACCATCCATTCTACCAGCGAACAATGGTTTGAGTCACGTGGAATTAAAATGTTATTAATAAACCAGTGGATCAAATGTTAAAAGTAAGGGCCAGTGAGGTAGCTCTGTGGGTGAGGGCTCATGCCTCTCAGACTAACGACCTAGAATCAACCCCCTAGGACCCTTGTAGGGTAGGGATAGAATCAGCTCCTGTGGTTCATCCTGATTTCCACATGGCACAGCATGAATGAACCCTTGCACATACACGTATGCACACAAAGTAAATAAATGTTGGGTTTTGTTTTTATTTTTGTTTTCGTTTCCTGAGACAGGGTTTCTCTGTGTAACAGTCCTGGAACTAGCCCTTGTAGACCAGGCCTGAAGCTCACAGAGACCCTCCTATCTCTATCTCCTGAGTGCTAAAAGACATGCACCACTACCACCAGGCTGTTTTTCTTTTTCTTTTTTTCTTTTCTTCTTTCTTTCTCTCTCTCTCTCTCTCTCTCTCTCTCTCTTTCTCTCTCTCTCTCTCTCCCCCTCTTGCAGAAGCTGTACCTGTTTCTCCCTTTTCTCCGGGTGGACCAGGAATTCCGTCGCGGCCCTGGCTACCTCTCATACCCATTGGTCCAGGAGGTCCTAGGAATCCTGGAGGGCCTGAAACAAACAGAAATCCAAACCACATCATGTTTTTCAATGACGTGGTTTGGATTGGCCTCTTTCCTTCTATGGCCTACGGTGAATGCCGGGGAGATAGGTGGAAAGTGCTCAAAGGTACTGAGTTTTCAGAACCGTTGTTTGCGGAACTGCATAAAATTAAAAAAAAATATATGCCCAAATTAATACTCTCATGAGATGACCACATGGTATTTTATACTGGTAGATATGTTGATTAAAAAGGCGGTGTTTTCAACCCCACTGTTCTGAATCCTATGGGAGCGGTTAGACAGTCTAACCTCAAGAAGGAAGTGTGTTTTCTTCAGGCAAAGGGACAGAATAAGTTTTAAAATGAAACCTGGAGGGCCAGTGCTTCCTGGAAGGCCTGGGAAGCCCTTCTTTCCTTTAGGACCCAAATCACCACCAGGACCCGGATTCCCTGCAGATCCAGAGAAAGGGCAGAGAAAAAGAACGTTGAGATGTGAGTAGTAGTTCCCTCAGCCACTGAAACAGCCAGTTCCTCCCATCAGCCATGCTCGGGCAGCCCTCACAGACATTCCTGCCAGGTCACCTCAGACATTTCTCCTGGGAAATCACATAGGTGTCATCCCCTTCATATGTTGAAGTCCCGACACCCAACACCTCACAATGCCATTGTATTTAGCAATACGGTTGTTAAAAATTGGGGCTGACAAGATGGCTCAGTGGGTAGTGGTGCTTGTGGCCAAGTCTGACAACCTGAGTTTGACCCCAGATACAATGTTCAGCATCTGATGTGCTGCTAAGATCAGGAGCCAACTTCCAAGCTATTGAACGCCTCAGTGTTGGAAAATGTCAGTTAAATGCTATCTTTATGTAAGTCTGCAGTTGTACCCAAATAGTTCAGCAAGTTTTTTGTTTGTTTTTCAGGTTAATTAAATAATTTTTTTCTTCCCACTTTTCCTTCCTCCTCCCAGGGCTGGAAATTGAACCTAAGACCTTACATACGTGAGACAAATGCTGCACTACTGAGCTTCATCTCTAGCTGAGCAATGGATTTTAATAAAACAAAATTAAAACCTGCTATAAGGTAGCATGGACATCAATGTCTAAGCCAGATCTAGGCCAGGCAAAAAATATTTAAAATAACACTACAGGTGGAATTATATTTTCCCCAAATTTATACATCAAAGTCCTAACCTCCAGTACCACAGAATGCCATTGTGTTTCATAATATGGTTGTTAAAAATTGGGGCTGGCAATATAACTAAATGGGTAGTGACGCTTGCAGCCAAGCCTGACAACCCGAGTTCGATCCCCGGGATCCACATGATGGAAGGGATGCACTGATTCCCACAAGTTCCTATCCAAGTTGTCCTCTGACCTCTACATGCATCCTGCAGCATACACATACCACACTCACATGCAATAAATAAATAAATAATGCAATTTTAAAAAAGCTAAACAAAAGTGAGGATTGCAGCCCAACACTTGTGGCATCTTTGTAAGAGATTAGGATGAAAACAAAAGGGGGGGGGGGGCAAAAAATGGTGGCTCTAGCCACACCCCAAGGTCTCACAAGAATGAGCCTTACCAGCATTTTGGTCTTAGAGTTCTGGCTTCCAGACTGTGAGCAAACAGGCTTCTGTTAAGCTACCCAGTCTATGCATGCATTACAAGTCCTGCTAGCTATGTTATTCTAATCTAAGACTGTGCGGGAATCATATCATTTCAGGCTTCTTGGCTGAATTTTTTGAGACAGAACTTCAGATGTTTTGATTACAAGAGCAGGTGTTTAGGTTCTGGTCCCCTTAACAGTAAAATGAGGCTGCTTCTGATTAATTCACAATTTTTAGTGCAGTAGAATTTGAAGTTAAAAGTTGAATCAAAACAGTTATAGTATGTATGTACACGGAAGCTGTTCATTCCTTCCTGGTCACCCAGACCGGAAATAATCACACAAAAACTATATTAATTGCAACACTGTTTATCCTATTAGCTCAGGTTTCTTATTAACTAACTCTTACATCTTGAATTAGCCCATTTCTATTAATCTATGTATTGCCACTAGGCTGTGGCTTATGGTTCCCGGCATATTTCTCCTTCGGCAGCTACATAGTGTCTCCCTGACTCCGCCTTCTTTCCTCCTTTATCTGATTGGAATTCCCACCTTACTCTATTCTGCCCTGCTGTAGGCCCAGAGCAGCTTCTTTACTAACCAATGGTCATAAAACATATTCACAGCATTTACAGGGGAACCCCACATCACTATACATCAAAAGTAGCTTTCTGTTTACAGAAATGGTGCTAAAAGGTAAGGGGCATCCTATCCTCACCGTTTCTACCTTTCCAAACTGTAAAACAGGGCTCACCTGGGTGGCCAGGACTTCCAGGACTCCCAGGGGCTCCATCAGGTCCAGCAAGTCCCGATTGTCCAGGTGGCCCAGGTGGGCCTCTCTCTCCTTTTTTTCCTTTGTCACCTGGCAATCCTGGATCGCCCTTAAATTCAGTTAAACACGTTTAAAGTTATCATATAAGCAGGACATGTGGTTAGAAGTAAGTAAGTTATTCATTTAGCAGGCCCTGCTGAGTGTCTGCTACAGGCCAGGACCCTGAATGTATGGGACTAGGTTAGCTGCACATTTTGTGAGGGCCAATGCAAAATGCAAGTGTTGCTCTCCCTCTTTTTAAAGACACTGAGAGGGTTTCAAAAGAGCAATAGTAGGACTTTTAACCAAGATGGGGTCCTGGACAGCACGCGGTCTATGTGACGACAGACTGCCCATATATGATGCATACAGCCCCTGCCTTCATGGACCACAGAGGCCAGCTGGGAGTTAGGTATAAAAAATTCACACAAGTAGGAAATTACAGAAACTGTGCCAACTGAAAGGGAGTAGGAAACAGGCTAAGCAGAGAGGTGTCTTGCGGATACAGTGCTTAAAGGCACATGTATGCATATCGCATGTTTAAAAACATCCTTTCATGGATGTACTATTCATTACGCCTGTTTCTCAGATTGATGATACTGCAGAACATGCACGGCTGACGGTGGCTTACAAAGTTTCCATCCTGCTGACTGGAATGTATTATCTTCTTACTGCAACCCCCTAACCTGCTAAAAACCAGCCTGAGGCCAACGGAGAACACTGCAGGTTCCATGTGGTTGTTACCTGCAAAACTCTGAGCCTAGACAGAGCTGGTAGAGAGCCGAACAAGAATCCAACCAAATAGGACTGCTCTTGGAGAAAATACCCCAGTGGAAGGCATCTCCCTGGTTTTCTGAAAACCAGTTAAAATCAGGGGGAAAATTGTGCTCCAAATAATGAGAGTTCCTTTTCTTGAGTCTTTGTCTTGCCTAAAAACTTCCTTCTCGTTTTGACAATGACTACTGCAGATGATGGAAATAATAACAGCAATGGTTCTTCATTGCTGCCTTGAGACAGGGTCTCATGTGGCTGTCTGAGGCTGGCCTCCAAGTTGTGTGGTCAATGGTGACCTTCACCACTGTTCATCCTGTCTCCGTCTCCCAAGGACTGGAATTGCAGGTATGAGAGAAAGGGCTAATCTCCTGGACCAATAGAGATGACTTCTGAGAGCTTTATGTTCTGAGTGCTTTAACCCTTGAACAGCTGACAAAAGACATCTGTTTCCTTTACAAACACATGCACTCAAGGACTCAATGTCCAATTCACCAGATTAGTGGGTCCCTCGGGATGCTGTAGATTTCCCCAGGGAGGAGCAGAGTCCCATGTTTAGAAGCTCTGCTCACTGGAATGTCTGTAATGACTCTGTACTGTGCATCTCTGCTTCTTAGTGTTAAGTGCAGAAAGAAAGACTGGATGGAAATAAACCTAAAAGAGCAACCAAGCCGCACTCAAGCGTCCAGTTGCTGCCACACATACAGTGTTTTATTAGCCAGCCTCAGTCTGGTGGAACACAAGCCCTGAGAAGGATCACTGCAACAAGGCAACAGACTTCTGTGCAATGACGTGAAAACATTTCAAGATCTGCAACTACAAGGATACATACATACAGGCATCTTAGGGTCTTGTTTACCTTTTAATGATGTTGTATTGTTATTTTAGTCTATGCCTTTTATTATATATTAATAAGACAAAGAATTTTGCATGTCAAATGTAAAAGTTCTGCATGAAAAGAAAAGCAAGAACAAAAATTTTATATGAGATAAAGCCACAGTTTGTAACTGGAGGAAAGAAACCCTGCCCTATCAGTTTCTGTGTGCCGTTCATCACTGCCCCCTACTGGGAGCACACTTAAACTGCAGGGATGGAGAAATTTCCCAAATTCAGAGCATGAGACAGCCTTAGCTTCAAAATAGGAATATGTTAAAAAAAAAAAATCATAACTGCCGATTGTATAGAAATCTCTTGTTTTCTCTTCTGCCCACACTGAATCTTGTCATTTAATCCCAGCACTCAGGAGGAAGAGGCAGATGGATCTCTGTGAATTCAAGGCCAGCCTGATCTACAAGAGCTAGTTCTAGGACAGACTCCAAAGCTTCATAGAAACCCTGTCTCAAAAACAAAACAAAACAAACAAAAACAAAAGCAAAAAAAAAAAACCAAAAAGGACCTCCACTTTTGCCAAAATGTAACTATTTCAGTGGTCTATATACCTTTGGACCCTGTGGTCCTGGCCTTGCACCTTCTGAATGACCTTGTTCCCCCTTATCTCCTTGGGGACCACGACTCCCTGGAAGGCCTGGTCTTCCAGCTAGACCTGGTAGTCCCAAAGTTCCTTTTCTCCCTTTAGGGCCTGAAATGAGAACAGATGCAGGTAAAACAAGTGAAGGAAGAATCTTAAAGTATCCCATGTATCCTAAGCATTAAGAAGATGTTTTTCACAATTCTGAGCTATATAATGTATGATTATTATAGAACATACAGAGATTCTTATCACTCATATCTAGTCCTTTGTCTAAAAGCAACACTTAGTAACATAAACTTTCTATTAAATGAACAAAACAAAACAATCGGAAACACAGCATGTCTACAGTGTGACTTGTCATGAGCTCAGTGGCTCATAATAGCAGGATCATAGTGTTACCTGGCACACCCATGTTCCCCATGCTTCCCGGCATGCCGCCTGGCCCTGGTCCTCCAGGATTTCCACTGCGTCCCACGTCTCCTCTAGGGCCTTGAGAATAAACAGAGTCACTTACGACCCAGCTCCTGGGCTCAGCACACATCTTCTGCTCGCATGAGTGGACAAGTACAGAATTTTCTATTAAATGAAAAACTAGAACAATCCAAGACATAGAACAGTCTACAGTTCTGACTTGTGAGCTCAAGGGCTTGTCATAACAGGATGATAGATTAGCTGGTGCTCCATGGAATAGATAAGCACAAAACACCTAGGCTAGCTGGCTAAGCTCGCTGCCCTTTCTCCTTCAGCTAGGGCTCCCCCTAGGTCTGGAGACTCAGAATGTGGAAAACTGGATTTAGCCCTGCTTAGAGCCGTCCTAGGACCAACGTCAGCAGAGGCTCCTCTGAGCGACCACACAGCAGTATCTCTCTGGCAGCAAACGAAGGGCAATTGCTGTCTAAGTCATCTTGCTATTGGGGTTACTGGGAGTAGGAGAGTAGTTTAATAGCTTAAAATTACTTCGCAGTTTACAAAAGGAAGATGCAAAAGTGAAAATGACTAGAGCATTAATTAATGTTTGTTGCTGACACATTAAAAATAAAACTTTGAGGGTAAAAATGGAACCACATGTGAGTTATATTTTAGGCAGTAGATGCCAGATACCAAACACCTTCTTTTTGGTTTAATTTAGATAGATGCTAGCTACCAAACCCTTTCTTTTTTGTTTAATTTAGAGCAACTTTCTCCTGGAACACTTTCAGGGTAGAGTTTATGTTTAGCCAAAGTCTAGAAGTATGTTCATTACAGTTCAGTCTAGGAAAGCTTAGAGAATGATGTTTTTATTGAAGAGTTAGCCTTACCTGGAGGGCCTGGAGGCCCAGGCAGTCCCTCAAAGCCTTTCAGACCTGGTAACCCTGGAATGCCTCTGTCTCCTTTTTCACCTGGATTTCCTACAAATCCTAGAGTTAAAGAGCAAATTTTAAAGACATGTGTCAGTTGTAAAGCATTTGTCTAAAATTCATGAGGCCCTGGGTTTCACCCGGTGAGAAACAAACTTGAAGCATCTCAGACTCACTCTCATCCTGGTCTAAACCGATAGGCTATTGACTAATGCAACATCACACATTTATCAAGAGCATGGGGAAGCGTGGGCTCCTGGCTTTTTTGTCTGCTTGTTTTTTTAAGAGGAGCCGAATACACTAAGATGTAGGAAGTATTAGCGTAGCGTCTGCCTTGAGACAGTTCTCCACCATCGATGGCAACTGTCATCATGAGATGCATTGAAGTGATGTTTAAAAGGTTGGAGTGTAGCTCAGTAGTAGGTCCCTTCCCTAATAATATGATGAGGCACTGGGTTCAATCCCTAATGCTATAAACAACAATAAGATATTTTAAGATTTAGTAGCCAAAATACCTCTTCATTTTTTAAAGTCAAACAGTATACTGCCAATTCTTATATAAACAATTCTATCCTCAGTACATTTATTAAGCTTTACGAGGCATTGTGTAGGTCAAAGACCCTGATGAGACTCATACTGTCACTCAGCAGTAGCACTGAACGTAGTCTCGCATGGCTAGGAAGATCACTAACGTTCCAGGACACCCTTTAGTCCCTAAAACTCGACTTTGATTGATTTATTCCCCTGCTTATTTTTGTCCACAGATACTCTTTTATCAGCAATCCATTACGAACTTCCTCAACTGCATGGAACATTCTACAGCCTCTCCTTGGCCTGGCTTTGTGCCTTTTCCCGCATATACACTTACATCCTTGTGGATTTAGTGTCTAATTAACAGACAAGTCTGGTGCTGTTTGCTGGAAATAAACATAAGTCACGTTCTTCTTGCCATGTTTTCAGTGCTTAATTGAGGAGACAGCCAAGCAATAGGCAATTGCTGCACAGTGAGATACGTTCTGTAACGCAGCTGGGCACTATAGACAAAAGGGAGGCTTCTGTTTTGTGGCTCAGCCTTGAAGACACGAAGCTAATTGGATGAAGAAAGTGTGGGATGAGACAGGGTTTCCAGACTAGATAATAGCCTGTGCACAGAAAGGAGTGGTGAAGGGGTGAGGTTGTCTCCTCCTTCGGTTTTCCGTTGATCATCATCTAAGAATGTGTGCTGTTCAATGCCTGTGTTTGCTCTCGCCTGCAGGCTTGATTTCTATTTATTCATCCATGCAAACGCTTATTTTAGATTTCACTCAGTATCACTGCATGTCTCTCTGTGTAGTTGTGCGCGGGTGTTTATAATGAACCTGTGTGGGTGTGATTGTGTTACTGCCTGTGTCTGGAGGGCAGGGTCTTTCTTTCAGTCTTTGTGTGGTTCTTCTCTGAGGTCTTTAGGTTGACATGGCAAATGCTTTCAGCACTGGAGTTATCTTGAAGGCCCTGGCTTGATTTTAGATGGCTAGAGACCAAAGGATGGTTTGTAAAACTGTAACAGTATAACAATGTAAATTATTAGAGGGGTTATAAGAACAAACAAAGTCAAAGAAAGTGTACAATATAGCCCTCATGAGGCCCACAAAGCCAAAGATTTACTACTTGGATTGAAACAGGGTTGAGGTTCCACTAATGTTTATTTCCCCCAACTAAACTCTAAGTTTCACTGTGACCAGGAAGCTGTACCTATGTATTCAGAATATAATAAAATGCCTAACACAGAAACATTAAAAAGTAATATAGACTTGGCCTGTTTCTGGAGGCAAGATTTGTACACAGCATAAGGAGGTTGAGTTCTTTCTAATGCTCATTATTTTTAATTTCACATATGAATACAATGTTTCTAGATATTATACACCACTCCTTCTCCCTTACTTCAACAACTACTGGATACACTCCTCCCTCCATACCCCTCTCCCGCTTCCTTTTCTTTCTCCTCCTCCTCCTCCTCCTCCTCCTCCTCCTCCTCCTCCTCCTCCTCCTCCTCCTCTTCTTCCTTCTTCTAAAATAACCCCTTGGGTCCAATTAGTATTCCCCATGTATGTATAGGTCTTGGCTACATCCCCTGGAACATGGGTAAGCTATCATGGGCCACACCATTGAAACAAAACAAAACAAAAAACAACTGGCCCCCTGTCTTGATATTGCTAATTTGATACAACCTAGAGTCACTTGGGAAGGGAGAAGCTCAACTGAAGAATTGCCTTGATGGGATTGGTCTGTGGCCATGTCTGTCAGACATCGTGGTTGAGGTGGGAGGGCAGAGCTTTTCATGGGTAATAAACACCATCTCTAGATATTTTGTTCTGCGTTATATAAGAAAAATAAATGAGCACGCCAGAGAGGAGCCAGTAACCATCATTCCTCCATGGCTTCTGCTTGGTTTCTTCTTGAGTTCCTGCCCTAACTTCCCTTAATGTTGGATTGTGACCTGGAAGTGTAAGCAAAGTAAGACATTTCCTCCCCATATTGCCTTTGGTCAGAGCAAGTTAGAACATTCTCCTTCTTCCAGGGACCACCAGCTGCCAGAAGGTCTTCAGCTAGCAGTGGAAGCCTCAGAAAGCCTTGGAGCCAACAGTTACTTGCTTGTCTGAATCACACTCACAAAAACTTTTTTTTTTTTTGGAGGCTCCCCTGGCTATTGCATTTGCTGAGTTTTCTGCTTCCCTCATCTCTCCAGTGTCTGTGGTCCAGACATGGCAGCACACCCAAAGAAGGACAGGTATGACCACTGGAACCAGCTGCTGCTTCTCACAGTAACACTGGAGAAACACACTGGATAAGGGACTTGACCTCTCAAGTCCTATGTGAGAAATGAGATTAGCAATGGCCGCCTGATTTCTCAACCACATATGATCTTTCTCCACCAGATCCACCTCCTTGGCTTACCATGAGATTGAGTCGATATCTATCAAACCTACTGTAGTACATGAACATGATATGTAGGCCTTGGCTAAAAAGTATAATATTTCTCATTTATGCCTTACATTGTTCATGGTTTTTTGTAGATATGTCTATTTCCCATGCAGGTTTCTCAAAGTAATACAACCACCACTGATTTGTATCTTCTATGTCTCCTCCACATCTGGAGTGGATATCTCTGTGTTTAAAATTCACATTTAAAAAAAGGAGGTTTGTCCTGACACACCAGTACCCAAGAGGTTTACATCAGGAGAATCTTGAGTTTGAGACCAGCCTGGACACATAATGAGTTCAGGGTCACATGGACTATATAATGCAGTCCTGTCTCAAAAACAGATTTTTAAAAAGTTGATTGTGCAGATATTAGAGAGGCTTAGATAATATGTTCCCTTTTGCTGTTCTTGAATCTGTGATCCTCAGCTATATGCTGAAAATGCTGTGACAACCTACACCTTCACCACTCTGCTTAAATAAATAACAACCACTTCCTAGTTTTCCTTTCTCAAAAATAATTTGGTCACCTGACTGACTCTTTTAAGAAGAAAACAATATTGTTTACCTTACTAAAATGACTTTCATAAGACTATTTTCATGCAAGAATGTAAATTTACTTTGAGCAGATTCCCCTGCAGATCCTAGTCTACCTCCTTTTTTAATCCCCTGCTCCCATCAGCCCTCTCGGTTTCCTTAGGCAGCTTTGCATATAGTTTCTCATTCCATGAGCACTATGTGATAGCGTGGATCCGCACATGAGAGAAACATACGGCATTTGTCTGAATCTGAATGCACTTAATGTAGTTCTTGTTGGTCACTTCCATTTTCCTGCAAATGTCCTCACTTTGTTTTTCTTCATGCTTCTGAAAAGAATTGCACTGTGCACATACACCGCTTTCTCTGTGTCCCTCCCTGTGTTAAAGGGCTCCTAGATTGCTTTCAACATGTGATGCTCTGAACATTGCTGTGTAAGTTTCATAGAAATAGATGTCATATTTACATAGACTTCTTAAAAATCTGGGCTTTGAGGTATCTGATTAAAAAAATCAGCTAGTGGGGGCTGGAGAGATGGCTCAGCGGTTAAGAACATTGCCTGCTCTTCCAAAGGTCCCGAGTTCAATTCCCAGCAGCCACATGGTGGCTCACAACCATCTGAAATGAGATCTGGTGCCCTCTTCTGGCCTGCAGGCAGACACACAGACAGAACATTGTATACATAATAAATAAATAAATATTTTAAAAAAATCAGCTAGTATCCATTTAAAAACAGCAGACCAGAATGCAAAAATAAAAGTGAATGCATTCAATGAACGACATAGTATTGTTCATGCTCAGCCTCAACACCGTCCTCACTTGTCAGCTAAAGAGGTTTGCTCAGATAGTTCTGTAGCCCCCAAATCAGCCGACTCTTAACATAGAAAGTTCTTTACCTTTGAGTCCCGGTTCTCCTTTTTCCCCCTTTAAATGTGGAATTTGGGGAGATGCAGGATTTCCCTTCTCTCCTCGTTCACCTTTGGCTCCCGGGCGTCCTCTTTCCCCCTTTATTCCTGGGATTCCAAGGCTACCTGACAGACAAAAGTGACCACATCAGGTCCTTCGTTCATAAGCACTGCATTAGAAATCAGCATTTAGCAGAGCGCATGATAAAATAGAAGTGTGAACGGTGCTAAGAAGTTGATAGTATTTCTGAACACACAGCCTTAAGCATAATGGTGCTGGTGTAGTGTGCAGGGTGAAAATCAGCTCCATGCCAATGGGAGAAGGGAACACAGAAAACCCAAATATGTTCTTCCCTCACAACTATTTTCTTAAAGAACAAATGTCATTTATTTTGCAACTAAGTAGATAAGCACTGTCAATACCTCATGCCACCGAGAAAGACACCAGCACTGACCTCTCTGCCCCCGTGAACCTGGTTTCCCAGGAGACCCCGGAGGACCAGTGGTTCCAGGATAACCCATCATCCCAAGCTCTCCTTTCTCGCCTGTGGGGACAAATTAACACAAAATGCTCCATGATGTATAAACTATAAAAAAACAAAATATTCCAGAAAACAAAATATTATAGACAGAGAAGTTGGGAGAGAGTGATTTTTGTAAATAGGAAAATATCCAAGTTTGGGTAAGAGATGGGTCAACGTCTTTTAAAACTTGGGTCTGTATATCATTGTAGCAAATCACACCAGAATTGACAACAGTGTTTCCTGAGCTTCCGGTGCATCAGCCGTATTACTTCCTTCTCTACACCTCTCATTTTGTTCCTTCATAGTACCTAGTGAAATTAGTTTTTTTCATTGTTTTGAAAAGTAGTTTACTAAGTGATAAAGTTTTATTCTGATGTTTTCATTTATGTATTTCATAATACTTTGTTCTTATTCATCCTAAAGTTGGTTTTTAAATGTAGTTCTTATTGCTCTCCTACTATGGGAGATGTGAACTAGAATAGAGTTGGTACACAAGAGAAGCCCAATAATAGGAACTGAAGCATAATGCGTCAGTTAGGCCATTATCGTGGTCTCTTTGGAGAGGAGACCAGTGATGTCCTTATGTCTCAAGGAAGCAGAATGTTCTTTACAAATGAAAGAAGAATTAAACAACCACAAATTCAAAGGAATTAGGAAGATATAACGTGAATAGTCTTGTGACCACACTGTAGATGACTTAGATACAATGGGCAAGTTTCTAGAGCAACATGGAACCAAAATGGACTTGCGGAACAATAGAAAATCAACTAGAGCTGTTTCTAGTCATCATAAATTACAGCAAACTGATAATTATGTGTATAGGTGACTGGAGAGGCTAGAAGAGGATGGCAGATCCCCTGGAGCTGGAGTTACAGGTGGTCATGAGCCACCTGGTGTGGATCACTTGGGAAAACATCAAGTGGTCTTAACTGCTGAGCCATCTCTCCAGACCCTGAACTGATAATTTAAAGACTTTCCACACAAAAAGAGTCCAGCCCCAGATGACTTCGCTAGTGAACTCTGTCATGTGGTCAAGGAGGAGTAGTTCTTCATAAGCTTTTCCAGGAAACTGTGCAGGAGAACTCACTCCAGCCTGTTCTCTACAGGGCCAGCATTGGTCCAAACAGGATTGAGCCATCACGAGAACACTGACCAGTGTTCCTTGCAAATATAAATGCAAAAACCTCAATAAAATTCTAGTTGGTGTCTTATAATATACAAAATTACTCCACAGCAAACATAACCATATCCTGGGTAATTATAAAATGTAATGGTTCTATTCTACTCTCCTGCCTCTTGACCCTTCCCTCTTAAAATGATTTAGGAGAAAAAATAGACTAAGCGGAAAGAAGAAGCATACAGTGTGCAGAGTCACCTGGAGGGAAAAATGTGGAAGAAGACTTTGAAGAAATGGCACAAAGAATACCTGGTAGCCCTGGGAATCCTGGAGCTCCGGGATGTCCTTTCCGGCCAGGTGGTCCTATCTCACCTGGATGACCGGGCATTCCTGGTGGGCCAGGTTCTCCAGGCATTCCTGACCTGTCCAAGCCTGGGATGCCAGGGTCTCCCTTTGGCCCTGTATCACCTCTTCTACCTACAGATGAAGAGATGAATGAGTGATTTAAACAAATGCTTCCCCTAGCACCTCCCAAAGCATTTCATTGTTGATTGTTTAGCTATATGATGTTGGGCAAACAGCACACCGATCTGTGTGTTTGTTTATTGTCTCTCCTACAGTCTCTCAAATCCCCACTGCTCTAATGTTATCCATTTTCGGGGTCACGCAGTGATCGAGGAAGAGTGCTCATGTCTATTTCTGAGAGCTGCAGATGCATCCCAGGACTGCGCTCTATGCCGTTTACCAGCCCTTCACCGCAGGCCGACACAGCAGCTCCCAAGAAGTGAACCCCCATATGTTCTGCAAACAGCGGTGCCACTCTAATGACGAAGTGTTAGCCATGAATTTATCTGCAACAGGTAAGCAGGATGCTAGTCTGCAGACACTCAGCGCAGTTCTAAAGGCCTTTTCCTAGGAGCCAGCACCAGATCTGGTTGAAAGGGCCCAAGTGGGTAGAGTATGCTTCCCAGTCAATAGGTCATTCAACCTTATTCCCTTGGGTTTATTTTCACAGATATTGATTTCATGTTGCTTATGATGTAATCAACTACATATTTTAGTTTACAGCTAAACAGGTAGCTTTGTGTACGCTTTCTCTGCCTTCATCATCATAAAGCTGCTATTTCCTTAGGAAGTTCTAAAAGTAAACCACTGATTGAAAGTCTATGCATATGGATATATATTAGTGACTCATCTACCTGCCAGTCTATCTTTATCATTAAGCTCTTGGTGGGGGTTATATTTCCTTCCATAAAAGGAACAAGTCAACTCACTATGGTAAGTTTGAGTCTCTTCGTATAACCAGTACCCACTGCTAATTGGAATATCCATAAAAGCCAGGGTCATATTTCCAAAAAGAACATGTCTTGCTGAACAGCAGTCAGGACTTGTTGCTGGACAGTTTCCAAAGGACAGAGCCAGAGGCCACCTACCCAGCCAGCCATCTGCCTACCTAGTTCCTGAATGGGAGGCCTTCCTCGTACCTGGTTGCCCTTTCAATCCATTTAGGCCCGGAAGTCCTTGGACACCCTTGGGTCCTTGCGTGCACCTCCCTGGGGTTCCTTTTGCTCCAGGTGGTCCAGGCTGTCCTGGGTCTCCTGCAATAGAGATTCCAGGCATTTGATCAGGTGCCAGAGCCCAAGGTCCCAGGGCTACTGTCCTTTCATCCTCCTGTGACTTCACCTTCCCCAACCACACCTCTGTCTGAAACCATCAATATGCTTGGATAGAGGACACTCAGGAAAAAAGGAAGAAGTAAGGAGGGGAGGAACATAGAACAGCCAACCTGAATGGAAAAAGAACTAGGCTTTTTCACTGATTTATTCACAGAGATGGAAGTGCTTAGAGCCCCCTAGAGCACCTAGTGGAGCTCGCTGAGGAGAAAGGTCATCACACTTGACCTTGTACCTGGAGGCCCATCAGGTCCGTCCTTTCCTGGAGGTCCAGGGAGGCCTGGAGGCCCAGGGAGTCCGATTTCTCCACATTCCCCAGGATTGCCTCTTTCTCCTGGAAAGCCAGGCTTTCCAGGTTCCCCAGGCTTGGCTAGTGCTGGTTCTCCCTGCAGCAGAGACATTAGGTTAGTGTCCCCAGTGGAATGCTTCTCAGTTCTGCTTGCTAGGGGTGCTTTGAGTTTGTTTGCAAAGAGACCACAGTTCAGCAAATATTTCCCTTTCAATTTTAGACAATGACCTTGCCGCAAAATACTGCTTCAGGATATGCCGTCCATATCCGCTGAAGAAAATGTGAGTGTCCCTATATACTCTGAATGTTTATGAAGTCATTAATAAAAGAATAGATATGTGAGTTTCCACAGGGACTTAAAAACTAATATCTACAAATATCCTGGAAAATTAGTATCTTTGTTTGTAAATATACTGAGAATTTCTAAATCCAAGTGTCTTGTCTGATAAGGACATTTCAACTGCTGATTGTAATTGGCCTGCCCTGAACTCAGTGTGTCAGTTGCTTCAGACCTTGGCTCCTGGGTGGCCTGGTTCTCCAGGACGGCCTGGCTTTCCCGGTTCCCCAGGACAACCAGGTGATCCTTTTGTTCCTGGGAAACCTTGATCTCCTACAAAAAAACACAAAACACAAGCAGTAAACATTGGAGATTAGCCTCATCGAAAGTTTATGAGCTATATTTCCTTTATCAAATACATTGATGAGGCATCCAGGTAGAGAGATGCTTCTATAAATGTTTGGATGATGATAAAACCAACGGATAAATTAGCAGTTCAAAAATAAAAACCAAAACAAAAGACTGAGTTGAAAGTCAAATTGCCTTGCTATGAAAGTTGTTTCAATAAGAAAAAAGAAAAAGAAAATTCTTAAACCTCAACTACTCCAGTGCAGAGTTATGGAGTCAGGCCCAGTGGATACACCGCAGTACAGCTCTCTGGTCCTCTAGTGGATACACCGCAGTACAGCTCTCTGGTCCTCTAGGCCCAGTGGATGCATCCACAGTACAGCTCTCTGGTCCTCTAGGCCCAGTGGATACACCGCAGTACAGCTCTCTGGTCCTCTAGGCCCAGTGGATGCATCCGCAGTACAGCTCTCTGGTCCTCTAGTGGATGCATCCGCAGTACAGCTCTCTGGTCCTCTAGGCCCAGTGGATACACCGCAGTACAGCTCTCTGGTCCTCTAGGCCCAGTGGATGCACTACAGTACAGCTCTCTGGTCCTCTAGCTCTGGCTAGCTCTACTTTCCAAAGTTTCCTGCATTTGTCCAGAGAGTGGATCCAGAGTTGCAAAATTAGCAGGCAGGTTGTTAATGGAAGACCCAGGAATGACTAGGCAAAATATGGGCCAGGCTCCATTAGTTCATGAAGGAAGAAATTCATGAAATTAGAATCAAACCTGCTTCGGGGGTTGGATTTTCATTTGCTAAATGTTACCTTACATGGGTCGAATAGATGCGCAATCAACAATGATGTATTAACAAGAGGTGAAATATCAAAACGATTGTATTTTAGCAAACAATTTAGGCAGTTGTGAAACAAACACAAAGGTATCATAAAGCCTACAGTTCTACATAATAGCCCAGTGCCTGAGGGTTTTTTTTTTTTTATGAATGGATCCTAGCCTGGATTTTGTCTGATGTGCTTATCAGAGGCACTGCTCAAATTATTATTCAGTATAAGCAGCTGGAGTTGTTGGAATGTCTCTATTTTGATGAAAACAGTATCTTTCTTTTTCCTTGTTGAAGAGATTTATCATCTTAAAATTAGGTCTATGTATGTGGGCATGTCAGTATGAGTGCCAATGCCTACAGAGACCAGAGGCACCAGGGTCCCCCCTGGTTACAGGTACAGGCAAGTGTGAGATGTCTGATCCAGGTTCTGGGTATCAAACTCCAGGACTCTGTAAGAGCAGTGTCTGCTTATACCTGCTCAGCCATCTCTCCAGCCCTGGCAACTTTCCTTAAAGCAGAATACTTACTCTAATTGTTTTCATGCTCACAGGGAAGCCTGGGGTTTTATTTGATGCTATGGAATGAATTCAGAGCCTTATCCACGCTAAACACACACTCTACTGCTATACCATATAGCCCCAGGCCAATGTGAGATTAGTATTTAATCTCTTATTTAAAACTGTGTGGAATTCAAGAAATACATAAACCCAAGAAGGGCAGAGTTAAATAAAAAATTCTTATGACTAGAAAGAATTGCTATTACCTATTTAGAGAATTACCTTCCAAGGCTTTTGGTTTTTTGCTAGTTTTCTGTGCTTTTTTAGAAAGCATGATTGGCGGGCCTGTGTGACGATGGCTCAGCATATAGAGTTTTCCACTGACCTGAGTTCGATCCCTGGGATCCGCATGGTGGAAAGAGAGAATGGAGTCCGGCAATTGTCCTCTAACTTTCACATGTACTCCCTATCCCCATGGCACACCAAATAAATATGTTAAAGTGCAGAAAGAAAAAATATGATTAATATAGTGCCTGGCCCAATGCGAATTCTGTCTTTTCACCTGATACTGTCCTAAGACTTCTGAAGAGTCTTGGGCAGCATCGTTTGTGCCACAGATGATGTGTTTCCTATTTTATTCATGGTTATAGCTTCAAAGCATCCACAGCGGACCTTATATTCCACAGTTTTTAATTTACCTTTAGGTCCTGGAGGCCCAGGAAGTCCAATTCCTGGGAGCCCTGGTTCACCATCAGGTCCAGGAAGACCAGGCTCACATATTCCCATAGGTCCAGGCAAACCTTAAAAACACATACATGCACACATCAGTGAATTTTTTTCATTTGTTCTCCTAAAGAAATGTCTGTGTTCTCTGTGTCCTCCCAGCGCTTCCTGGAAATTGTGAAATACGTTTTAAGGTAACATCAGCCTTTCTTTCCTATCCAGTGGGCTAGAGGTCAGGAACTGCTATGAATTTTAAAAATGTAACTTCCCAGGGCAGTGGAGGCACATGCCTTTAATCCCAGCCTTGGGAGGCAGAAGAAGGTGGATCCCTGTGAGTTCAAGGCCAGCCTGGTCTAGAAAGTGGGTTCCAGGACAGCCAGGGCTGTTACACAGAGAAACCATATCTTGAAAAACCAATAAACAAACAAACAAATGATATAATTTAATAATTTAAGAAGATCCTAAATATCTTGAGTGATATGTCTTCCTCTATAAATCAAAATTAAATTTCAAATACTTTTGTAGGTAAATCAAGTTTCAAATAAAGGTGCTGCGGGAAACACACTGATTCGTGGGATAGGCGCTGCTTGCTCTCCCAGCAGAAGCCATGGGGATCACTCTGCTCTATAACCTCTGTAAGCAACTGTATCCGTTATCTTTTGGAACTGTTGCTTCAGAAGCACCAGGGAGCCTGTGGATAACCTCAAAGGACATTAGAAAGCCCCCTGCCTGCTTGCTTTTCAGAATGGTTCCCACCTGTAGTCTCTTTCAGATCCAATGAATGTATTTTCTTTTCCTTAAAATGGGAGTGGTATTTTCCCAGGAAAGTGGGAGCGCCATCTGATGTCACGGACTGTGTTTGGAAAGAGGGGTACTCACCAGGTAGACCTCGGCGACCGGCCTGCCCAGGGGGCCCTGGAGGTCCTGGGGGACCTGGAACTGGTGTTGATATGCCCGGTTCTCCTTTAAGACCTTAAGAAAAAGACATGATTGTAATATTGGGTTGTGTATTAAAGTATGTTTTTGCAACCGTGGGAACTATTAAGAAGGAATTTAAATACATTCCAAGGAAAATAAAACCAAGCCCTGTTTCTGTGGGTTTCAAAAGTAGTTCAGGGGTGACCAGTCTGCAGAAACTTTTCTAGTTGATCTGCAAATATTCATTGAGCCTAGCTTTACTTAATAACCCTGCAGGGGGAGCTGGAGAGATAGTTCAGCTGTTAAAATCAGGACTGCTCATCCAGGGGTGCCTGGGTTCAATCCCCAGCATCCTCATGGCAGGTCACACTGTCTGTTACTTCAAGATCTGACACCCTCACAGTTAAAACACCAATGCAAATAAAAATAAATAAATTATTAACAAAAAGAAATAAAATAGCCCAGCAGGCTGGCCTATGAAATGAAAGCTTACTTGCTCCAGGAATTGATAGTAGGAGTGAAGTTGGAGAATAGTGGCAGGGTACCAGTTTATTGAATGGCTGATGTTCACGGAAAGCTAGTGAGGTCTACTGAACAAAACAACAAGTTTGACTCGGCTTGTGGGGCCCGGATTTGGAGCTTGGCACTGCTGTTTGCAAGCTCGGTGGGCGTGGACCTATTTCTTAACCTCTTTGAGAAGTTCCTTCTATGTCACTGTGGAAATAATGATCACCTTGCAGGTAAATATTTAAGGGAATTCTCTGAAAATAGTAGCCAGTGTTAAACCATGTTTGTGATTAGTCTTATCACCATCATACATTAATAATAATAAAAAATGGCTTAATTCAAAACTATAAAAACATGATGGGAGAATTTGATACATTCATATTTAGAAAGAACAGAAGAGAGTTGGATGAAGGATTAAGCAAGAGTCAATAGACTATATAAAGGTCCAGGCAGTAAGTAATTTGGGCTTTGTAGTTCTGATCTATTACAGCTACATTGTAATAGATCATTGGTCATTGTTCAGTAGCTGCCAAGAACACAGAAGTGTGGCTAAATCCCAATAATCTCGTATGACCATTGTAATTTGGATTCTATAAATTTTAATTTGTACTAGAATGTTATTAAAATCTTCTTCAATTGCTAAAAAAAACAATAGGAACCCTTCTTAACTTTGGACCACACGAAATTCACTGATGGGCTAGGTTTGGGCTTCCATGTAGTTTGCTAAATCCCTGGATGAGAACAACAGTCTCCAAGTTTAAAAAAAATAAATGTCATTAAATAAGCTTTACACACATGTGGATAAAAATATACATTCACTTGATGACATATCAACTCTATGGAGTGGTACCCGAATCTTGATAAAGATGATTTGGACAGAAAGGGTTTCCAATCAATCACTGTTTAAGTGTTCACTGAAGTGATAAATACCACACAGGCATGACTTGTTGAAAACTCTCCACAGTAGGGACCTATCCAATACCTGTGGGACGCCAAAGTCACATGGGCTTTAAAATTATTATCGATGATTTTCACATATCTTAGCTGTTTTGATGTTTGGTTTATAACCTGGAGTCACAGATACAAGGGAAGACACTTCTTCAGATCAATTTATTCTAATTTAATTTACTTAGTTAGTTATTTATATTTTGCTTTTTGCCCCTCCTGTCTTGTAGCTGAATTCTACCCAACCCTTGGAAAGTGTATTGATATCAGTCATAGTAAGCAATGACTACAGGAAGTTTCAGATGAACTTCCTGTTACAGAGGAAATGGATTTTCTCTGTCACATCTTTCCCAATCTCCGAGGAGACAGACTTGCCAGGAACAGATTTATGTATATGTTCATTAGTTCTGAAAGAGCCTTGTAGGCTGTGAGAACCATCCCCCACTTCGCAGGAAAGCAAGACTGGAAAAAACTAACCAACCGGCTTCTCCAGGTGGTCCCGGGGCTCCAGGAACTCCTTGTGTTCCCTTTGGACCTGTTTCTCCTCGAGGTCCATAGCCCGGTGGTCCAGCTGGTCCTGGGGGTCCCGGAGGGCCAGGTGATCCAGGAGCCCCTGGAGGTCCCTGGTCCCCTTTCCTTCCACTCAGGGCCTGTGACAACGGGAACATGTTCGGCAGTGTCTCAATTCAGTATTTCCTTACCGCAGGGTAGTTCAAGCGCAAACAGGGGACCACGGAGGCTGTCTGGGAATCCCTGGTCCTGCAGATGCACCAGGAAAAACTGCCTACAGTATCTACATTCCGGCGAGTTGGATTCACCTTGTTAAGAAGATCTGTAAATAACTTATGAGTGTGTGTGTGTGTGTGTGTGTGTGTGTGTGTGTGTGTGTGTGTGTGAGTGTATCTTCAAACTTGCTTACCAAGTTTCCCCCACTGTCCCACTTAAGATCCTCTGTATTGAATAAATCTGATTAAAGCTTTGGAAAAGTGGAAAAGCTGGCATTTTGTAGATTCACTTGGGCAAACTTCTCATAGGTACATTGTGGGACACCCGTGGTGTGTCACCCCATGACCTTTCCAGTTGAATGTGTGACAAATTCTATCCTTGGGAAAGAATAACCTTTGCACGAACTGAAATGTTTTAGACATTCTATCTCTTCATTTGACTAATATATCCCTGAATATTGTATCTTGTATGCACTTATGTAGAAGAATAAGAACAATCCCAAAAATGTTTGCTAAAAATTTCCTTTACTAGTAACTTTCTCTTTTTTCCTTTTCTCTTCTTCCTTTCCAGTCCGGCTCCTCTCCTTATTTTTGGAGACTGGATCTCACATGGCCCATGTTGGCCTAGAACTTTCTACGTAACTAAGAATGACCTTGAACTTCTGCTATGACTTCCTCCAGCATGGATTACAGATGTGGGCACTCCTGTCCCATTTATTCCACGTTGAGGATTAAATCCAGCACTTCCTCTGTGTGTGGAAGGGTTCTGCCAACTGAGCCATATCTTATCCCCATTTTTTGGAGTTTTTCTACAAATACATTCCACCCACATATTGAGATACAGGGTGTGAACCAGTGTTGTTATCAGCATAGAGTTTTAGCTGGGCTAAGCCATTGAAAGGAGCTCATTTTGTCCAAATACTGTGAATATCTGCTTGGGTTATTACTGCTATTTTGAAGATGTCTTACTTTGTGACTAGAGTGTAGAACTACGTAATTTTGGTGATCACATTATCTCCTGGATTCTGAGTGTTTTACTATAGAGTGGAAGGTGTAAAAAAAAATAAAAAAATTCTAAATACGAACCGGTTCTCCTCTAGGTCCTGGCGATCCCTTTGCTCCTGGACTTCCAGGGATTCCATCGAAGCCCTTTCTCCCTGGCAGGCCTCTGAGTCCAGGTTCACCTGGGTCACCCATTTGCCCCCAGGGTAGAGGTGTTTCACCTTTGCTTCCTTTCAGTCCTGGGTGCCCTTGGTCCCCTGGGAATCCCTATGGTGACACAAAAGGGAGTCGGCCTTCTGTTCTGGAAGAACTGTTCTTGGTCAGTTGTAAAAACATTCTCAAGAAGAACTTTTCAATTTTAATAAACATGAATTTCCCCCTAAAACACATTTAATATTTTTATGTTGACAGACATATGTAGTTGTATGTTTATAAAACTCCTAATATACACATACTATTAAATACATATGTTAGAAGTTGATTAGTTATTGTACACGAAGACCCGTGACGCTGCTCTCTGAAGGGTAGACAGCCCAGTGCCTGTATCAGAGACCGCCCATGTGCCTGCCTTGGTCTCTGAGTGTCTCTTCTGCTTTAGAGGAAAATACTAGAACATGGATATCTTTCAGCATACATTCCTTTCGGTGGAGGCGGGGAGGAGTGGTTTTAAAGACAGAGTCTCAAACTGTGGACAAGCTGACATGGAAGTCCCAGCAACCCCGTCTCAGTATCCAGTGTTAGGACTACAGGTATACGTCACCAAATTTAGCTGTCAATGTGAGCTTTTTCTGTGCCACAAATACCGTGCCAAACATTTTATTTACTTTGTTTTGCTTTTTAACTTCCCAAAATGAAAAAGAAGCCACTTAGACATTATAAGTCATTGGGATTAAAGCAATAATTCCTTCACTGACATAGTGGTAGAAATTCTATCTGCCATAGCACCATCAGAATTCAGACTATGTTCGAGTTGATAAATTCTAACATGCATCTCTTAGTTATCAAATATAACTTTCTGGCTCATTATATAATAAATAGAATTAATAACAGGGTTATATATAACAGTAAAATGACAGATGATCCGTAATTGTAACAACTATACTGAGATATGAAGGCATATAAAGATATATTGAGGTATAAGCTACATACCATAAAATTGATTCTTAACAAGTATATATATATTTAAATATGTAGATATGTATATATGATTATGTATCAGTAAAATTTAATGATTTTAACCATAATCAGCATTAAATCATCTTCATTGCACCCACAGAAACCCTCGAATCCATCTATCGTCAATCCCGGTTTCCACACTCAGCCCCAGGCAGTGATCTAATTTCTATATCTGCCACCACCAAAAATGACGTGTGCATGAATAAATTCACCAATTCACTCATTTACTCAACAAGCTCCTGTGACCGCACCTTCCGTTTCCTGAGTTCAAAACCTACACTTTGCCATTCCCTGCGGACCCATGTGGGATGCAGTCATATTTGTAGAGAACTCAGCTTTCCGAGCTGAAACTAAAGTTTATAACTATGAGATCTTACTGCAAATCCTGGGAGACCTTGGCTTCCGGGGGACCCCGGGTTTCCTTTCATGCCAGGTGCACCTCGTCCTCCTGCAAAGCAATTGATTACGATCTTTTGAGCAGAGCAGTGCCGTGTATGGAGAAGACAAAACATTTCCTGCTGAAGACCAAAGAAGAATTCCTATCCCGTCCATGTAGGCAAAGTGGTCAACTGGAACACTTAGATCCCAGCTTCCCAGCCCTCTCAACCTTGCAATTTTAAGGGTATATATATTATATATTTACTTTTCTTACAGTAAAAATAATATATGCTCATTGAAAGAAAATTATACAGAAGAAAATAAAAACTGTGAATCTACCATGACAAAGTTAGCATTTGCTCAATTTTAGAATATATTGTAAATCTTCACATCCATAAATTCATGAGACTCATGTATATACTACTTTAGAATCATACAAGATACCTGTCAATTTGTCAATAAGTATAGATGTCGAGATTAACGTCAAAACATTTTGACTATTATCTGGCTAGGCTATTTTTTTTCTTTTTAGCTAACTGCTTTTTTTCACCATGTAAGCTATGTTTTCAGCCTTTAGCCACTGTCATGAATGCTAAGCAGGTATGCTCAGATATACAGCCCTCCAAATGTGCGAATCTCCTGTCTGTCCCACACATGAAAAGATAGCATAGCCAATGATGTTTTCCCCTTAAAAAATTGATCCATCAATTTTTTGAGATAGAAATTAACCTAATGCTAAATAAAATAATTCAAGCTTTTAAATAAAAATCTTTGTTATGAAAAAGGACTTAGAATGCTGGAGTATAATCGGCTGGAGCCGAGTACCTGGCAGGCTGCTCAAGTGTGCCCGCCCTTCAGGCTTTCTCAGCACCACCACCCCTACAGCTGTGGGCATGGCTGCTAATTTTTACTGCCCTCACGCCTTACTGGACAAGCAAATACTGGGGATGTCATCGACTCTCTCAAAAGCGGGACTGACGGAGAAGGACTCTGTGTTTGCAAAGGGGGTCCCTTGCTTCCTCTGTGGGTCCCCAGCAGGACTCCCTTTACAATTCCCGGGGGGGGGGGCGGGAGAAGGCTTCATTAGCACTCAGTTACCCAAATGGAACTGGAAAAAAAGATGTCAGAGATTTTGACTGACTTCGTGGTAACACAGTGACTTCAGAACTCTTCCTTTAAGTTCATTATGCCACTCAGGCAACCTAACACCCTTTCCAAGGTCCCAGTCTGTTTACTTTTCTGTCCCCACAAAGCTGCAAATTTTCACACAAAGTGTCCATACCTGGGATACCTTTGACACCATCTAGTCCTGGAAATCCAGGGAGACCAGGGGGCCCTGGGATGCAATGGACCTCTGTGCACGGAAGGCCTGGTTCTCCTGCAACGGGACAGCGCATGCATAGGATTACAAGTCGCACAGAGTGGCCGGAAAGGACAGGTATTCCCCTCCCACCGTATTTACTGAAACATTTTTTAATGTTGTGAAACTAATCCCAGTATTAATTTACATTTCTGTGTATGTTCTCTTGTGAGTTATGAGTCTTTGAGAGAGGAAAGTTGAAGAATCTACACATAAAGAATCTACTGTTTCGATTTCTCCCTGTGCACTTAGGACGGACTCACTTCAGGCTTAGCATGCTAACTGAATTACTGACTTACAGATAAATGGATGCTTCTAGGTAACTGGCTGGAAAAGAGGTAATTCTCTGACTACTTGAGAGATCACTGCTGCTTGGAGAGGGTAAAAAATTGATGAAGCCGTGATGGAAGTGGATTTTTTTTTTTTTAACAGCATACCACTAGGTTTGAACAAACCTTTCGGCCCGCCAATTCCTGGGTCTCCTGGAGGTCCTATATTGCCTGGTACTCCACGATCACCAGGTGGTCCCGGTTGAAAAACAATGTTACCTAAGAAAAGACACCGTCAGAGATCAGTTTTTTGTCTGTGTGTATCAGTGGTTAGAGTGCTGGTCTGACACGTGATGCTTGAGGCCCTGGGTTCAATGATCAACACTGACACAACACAAAACAATAGTAACACTACCACTAAACACACACACACACACACACACACACACACACACACACGAGTTAATCTTATTTGCTTTTTGGATATACATATCATTTTACATGCATTTCTTCCATCCTTCTGGTGCAAGCTGCACCTTTAGAAGTTTCTCTACAAGAGAAGATGTGTGCTTACAAAGATGTATTGTTGTTTTATTTACATTTTCTAGGTTGTACACAGGTACGTGACCATGTCTGAGTTCAGATGGCTTTGATGTGGTTGTCCTCAGGAAGTTCTGTGGCACCTGTCATAGGGCAATGGACTCCATTTTATATCTTTACCTGGAAGTCCTGGAGGTCCTGGTGGGCCTGGTGGACCTGGTGAACCCGGGCAGCCCAGGGGTCCGGGAGGGCCCACAGTGCCTTTTCCAGGGGGTCCTCTCTCCCCTTTACTTCCTTTCAAGCCTGGCCATCCAGGAGGTCCTCTGAGGCCAGGCCTTGACAGACCTTGGAAGAAAGAGCCATTTGTAGTGTTTTAATTTTTCTTCTGATGAATATGTTTATTTTTCAGTTGAAAACAGGAAGATAGATTCTTATTTACAAGAGTTGTGAAGTTGATAGCTAATTAAAGCTTGTAAAACAAAAAGAGACTATCCTTCCTTCCTTGGCGGACTTAATAGATGGCATCGTATTAAGACAAAGTGTGAAACAGCCCATTCCAACAAGCTGACTCATGTGATTTGGTACAGGGAGCTGGAGCAGAGTCTGGAGTGAGCTGTAAGTTTTATGTTCTATGACTTGTGAGGAGTTCTTGCACATGTGTTACTTTGTAAATGTTTTTTTAATTAGAAACTAGAGGATGCTTAATTTTGGCGCTCTCAGATGAGAAAGAACAAGTTGCAATTGAAATGTATTTTCACTGTGGGTAAAGGTGGGCATATCTGCATAGAGATGTTAGGTTAGATGGTGTAGACCCAAACCTAAGTCAGCAATGTTGCGATGAGGGGCCATCTTGAACTTCTGCCTCACAATTTAAGTGTTAGGAGGAGTGATATTGCCACCAAAGAGCTAAGAAACCAGCCGGGTTGTTAATTGAGCCCAAAGCCAAATCCTTCTGATGGTAATCCTGCTTCAGAATCTTGTACCTTTCTGTTCACTGCCTTCTTAGAGGAGACAGTACTTTTCTTAGGGTTTTGGGGTGGAGAAGGAAGTTTCATTAAATTCTCATTGAGAAGCTGCTCATCCTAACTTTAGGAGATACCCACCCCTAACATGTATATATATACTCTAGTTTCAGGAGAGAGCCACTACTAACCTGCATCATAAGTCTATATAAGTCCTAGCTTCAGGAGCTACCCACTGTTAACATGTATACATACATCTGTATACATTCTAGTTCAGGAGCTACCCACTGTTAACATGTATACATACGTCTGTATACATTCTAGTTCAGGAGCTACCCACTGTTAACATGTGTACATATGTCTGTATACATTCTAGTTCAGGAGCTACCCACTGTTAACATGTGTACATATGTCTGTATACATTCTAGTTCAGGAGCTACCCACTGTTAACATGTGTACATATGTCTGTATACATTCTAGTTCAGGAGCTACCCACTGTTAACATGTGTACATACATATGTATACATTCTAGTTCAGGAGCTACCCACTGCTATCATTCATACATAAGTCTGTATACATTCTAAATTCAGGGGAGACCCACCACTAACACTAACGTGTGTGTGTGTGTGTGTGTGTGTGTATGTATATATATATATATATTATACATGTGTGTGTGTAGTAGGTATGTGCAGGCATACACAATATTTGTCAATTTCTGTATCTGTTAAATTTGCTTCTTCTAAAAAGAACATAATGCAATCACCATTGATGGGTTCTTGTGAACCCATCTCTAATGCTATTCTTTATCTCCAGAGACAGAAATGTAAAACTTTAGAGAAAAAAATGTCATGAATGGTAGTGCACGCCTTTAATTGCAGCACTCAGGAGGCAGAGGCAGGTGGATTGCTGAGTACGAGGCCAGCCTGGTCTATATAAAGAGTTTCAGACAACCAGGGCTACACAAGATAACTGGTTTTGAAACACCAAACCAAATAAAATAAACAAAAAACCAACACCAACAAAAAAAAAAGAAATTTTACAGAAAAAGTTTAATTATAATGTAGGCATCCCTGCAGGCCTTTGTATTTAACAAAAGTGGTTATTTTCAACTAACCTACTTGCTGTGACATCAGTGCTTTCCATCTTTGTGCCACATCTGAAAACTGGGGCTCCTGATCCTACCCCAAAGTTACGTGCTTGCATTAAAAACCCTCCAGTGTCACTTTAACGCCTGCGGTTTTGTCAGCGTGGGCCACAAGGATAGCTATTAAGAAGCTAGAAACCCATTGAGATCAGCAATGGCAAATCGTCTTTTACAAATCATATGAAATCACAAAACAGTGGCTTTCCCCTCTTTAATAGCATTTTTATGTGTACTCAAAAGAAACACAAACATACCAGGGCTTCCAGGAACTCCAGGGGGACCACTAGGACCTGGGAATACATTACATCAATTAATTGCTTGCCCAGTTAGAGACACTCTCTGTTCAGTTTTAAAAATCTTCTACAACAGTGTCACCGTAGTAACCATTCAACTCCTAGGGTATACCACTTACAAAATTTCCATGAAAAATATGAAAAAATATCTCCACTAACATAAAGTGGGAATTCCCCTTCCTCCCTCACCTGGAAACTATCATAGCTCTATAAATAAATTCTGCTCAGTGCTTTGAAAGAAAGATAGAACAATGGTGATAAATACATCCTCACCCTGTGGGCCACGAGCACCTTTGGGCCCAGGTGGGCCTGGCATTCCCTTGTCTCCCTTTTCCAGGTACGCATCATAATATTCTATCTTAAAAGAGAAGGTAGAGAATAAACAGAAACGTTACTGCTCACCAACCCCCCTTTCTTCAATCTCTTCATTTGGGCCTAAAAGAGAATTTCCTTGTTTTCCTGAGTTCAGAGGTTTTGATATTAGCAGAAATACGGTGGCCATATACAAGTGGATAGATATTAAGACAAAGATAACCTTTCTGATGTCATCACTTATACCATAGGCTTTCAGCTAGAGCTACATTTAGTTTAATTACACTTTTAAAATTTTGTTTTCTTTCTGTGATGGGAATCAAACGCAGGGCATTGTGTTTGACAGTGCTGGGCCACAGGGCTACATCCTTAGCCCTAGAAACACGTCTCATTGATGTGTCTCAACCACCACATTATATATTTGTTCAGTGACAAAATAAAGCAACAAGAACTTTCATGGAAGCTTCGTCTATTAAATCACAGAAGTTACCAGCAGCAATGACATAATAGGGCTCATCATAAATTCCACAGTTATGTGTACAGATGTCGGGTATTGGGCTCAGCTGAAGTTTATGATTTCACAAAGCAAAGTAGCCCATCACACTTTCCTAGCATAAACGATATTTGTCAGTAACTTGCATCTGAAATAAAAAGATACTGATTCTTGGGACCCATTTTCATTCAGTGAGTTAAGCTCTGTAGCTTGGGGGTCTGAGAACTGTATTTTAAAAAATGACTTATATTGTGTTTGTGAGAGCTATCCTGCATATATGCAGGTGTCCCACTCATGTGCCTGGTACCCCGAAGAGGTCAATGGATGCCCTGAACTGGAGTTACAGATGGTTATGAACCATCACGTTTGTGCAGAGTGCTAAGCCTGGGTCCTTTTGCAAAGTTAACTGTTTTTTCTTAACTGCTACCCATCTCTTCAGCACCTCAGTTTAATTTTGTGTGGGGGGCGGCATGTGCATGTAGGTGCAGATTTCCAAAATGACTAGAGGCTTAGGTTCCCTGAAGCTGGGATTACAGGTAATATGTGCTGCCCAGGGTGGGTGCTAGGAACCGAACTCGGGTCCCCTGAAAGAGCAGTAGGCACTCTTAACCTTTCTCCAGCCTTGAGAGTTACATTTCTAACTAATCTAGCCCACGACTCTTTGCCATCCTGGGTCATTTGTACAGCCTGTACAGTCGGACCCTTGCCAAGCACACTGGCTAGGACACTGACTGCTTTGGGTGAATGAGCAGATGCCAGAACTGAGAGCCAGCGGTCTCTCTCATTCGTCTCATGTGCCCTGCAATGTCATCAAATCAAGTCTGTGCCAGGCAGGGTGGTGCTCCCAGGGCAGTGGAGCTTGGGTTGTAGGGACAGATTCTTGCTGACCTGCCTTAAACTCAAGGCAGAGCTTCAGCTACCATGCAAATAGAAGGACCAGGCTCTCTTGTTCCTAGGTACCCTAGCTGTCTTCAGCAGCAACCTTCTTATTCCACTTTGAGAGCAGAGGATCACCTTGGACAAACTGTGATGAGGCCAAGTTTTTGGTTTTTTTGTGTGTGTGTCAGAGTCCAAGATGGGCTTTATTAGTGCATTCTAGGAATCAAACATAATCAAACCGAAATATTTATCCATTGCCAAATGGGTAAATAATGACGACAACTCGTCTTTGCCTTGGCTTGATGAAAATGAATATGCTCTTACATTCATCATAACAGTTAATGAGAAATGCTGATTCAAAACTTGCTCAGTACTTGGAAGAATTTAACTACGATATTGTTCTCTCTAGTTGCACTTACTGGACCAGGGAATCCTGGAGGGCCAATGTCTCCTTTCCATCCCTGCAATGAAAGACATTACAGGTGAATATGCAAACCCAAAGGAGCATAGTTAAAAAAACAAAATACAAGGCTAAACAATAAGTTAATGGTCACGGCCATGTCATTTAGGTATAATGTGCAAACCAGATTACAGGGGTGTTGCCTTGAAGTCATCTTCCTGGCCAGCCCTTGTCTAGGTGGAGTTTTCTGCAAGGCTGGGAAGAAGGCAGTGCTAGCCTGTCTATCATCCACCTTCCTCCTTTACCACATGGTCCCTAGCCTTACACATCCACATCCTCACACAGACTGTAGCTGTAGGATAGCCAGGCCAGGGATGTAGTTACTGCCCAATGTACCCAGCCTCCTTCATTTAGAGAGGGCAATCCAAAATTCTTCCAAAACTGGCTATTAAAAAGCAGAGTTTGAATCAGAATGTATATCATTGCATATGTGAATTGTCTGTGAACATTGGCAGCATATCAGAGGCAAGTGATATGGAATATACTACAAGGTGATTGTGACTTTTCAGAGACACATGACCCAGCTGAGGTTCCAGAGTCCAGACTACATGACTTCAGATGACCGGATGGATTCCTGCTATTGGGAGCCTTTGCTGAAACCCTGCTCATAGGGAGCTGATACGTATCTAGAGTCCTGAGCCAGCTGGTGTCAACTTCAACTACACAGAACAATGTTTTATCTCTTCCTTGAGAACCTTCTTGGAATGTTTATTGTCCTTTCATCCTAGCAAATACACTCAACATCTGAGCTTTTTTTTTTCTGGCTTTTATTATAATGTTACTCTCCAGCATTTAAAAGAATGTGATTTTTTAAAAAAAAATAGACTACAAAGGTCTTTCTTTTCAAGCTACTATCAATTATCAACAAAATAAGTTTATATTATTCTATGGGGAAATCTCCCTGTTTAATACAAGAGTGAGCAAGCTTGCTTTACCGAGGCACAGACAGCACTATGATAACCAGCACTGTCAGAGAGAGAGAGAGAGCCGGGGAAAGACTAGAGAGGAGGAGTCTTTTTCCACAGGACTGACAGAATTGTCTGCTCAGCATCCATAGTTCAGACCGCACACATTAATCAAACCAGCACTGAAGACCGAGAACATTTCACGATTCCTGGGCAAAGGTCAAGCCCCAGCTTTTAATCTCAATACTTTGTTAACAGGAACACGATTTTTAAAATAAGCAATACCTATGGGCCTACAAGATGGCTCAGTGGATAAAGGGGCTTGCCACCAAGCCTGGATATCCAAGTTTGATTCCCGAACCCATATGGTAGGAGAGAGAAGCAACTCCCAACGAGCTGTCCTCTGACCTCGACGTGTGTGCTCTGGTTCATGTGCCCCTCCCCCAACAAATAAATAAAAGTGAAACAGAAAACAACACAGCAGCAAAAATCTGAAGGAAGTTGAAACTTAGAAAGACAGACCGGAAGGGACCTGTGAACCACAGTGGGTGAGAGCTTGGGTTCCACGCCCGGGGAAAGTAACCACAGTCGCATGGTGGTGAGGAAGGGAGGAGAGTCGACAAGTGCCTGCCATGTGATAGGCTTCTATGGAAGACAACTTTCTCATCTGTGGATTGGGACTCGCCCCCATTTCCCAGGAGTGACTTGGGGATCAAGTAGGAATATCTGAGAAGCATTAGGCTGGGAACAGGAAATTCTCAGTAATATTGATGGCTTTTGCTATATGATTGTAGGAAACCTTCAAAGACAGACTCAAAAATATTCACTTCAGTTCAACATTGGCTTATTTTGGTAAAGCCTGTGATTGCAATTCCTTATTCTTGGGAGGGTAGGCAATACCCAACCAGTTGGAAAAGGCTGAAGAGAGGATGTTACCTTAATGCCAGCTTCACCCCTTAACCCAGGAAAGCCCCTGTTGCCCTTGGCTCCCTATAGGAAAAATAAAAGGGCAGAAGATGAGAAGACATGAGTCAGTTGCATCTCTATGAAGCAAGCACAGCAGGAACTTTTTAATTTTTAAATATTTAAAATGAATTTTCAAAAGCAATATGTAATAATCGTATATACTTTTGGTATACAATGCGATGTTTTGAGATCTCACCAGTTCTGATCTATATAATCACATTTTATCTACCAGATTGTGTACTTTGTGTATTGATCAGGTCAGGGAACTAATCACATCCACCCCCTCAATTGTCTGTCATTTTATTATGGTGTTAAAGATCTTCCTAACTAATTTCAAGTAGACAACACACCCGTGTTGATTCTAGTTACCTTACCGTGAGACTAAGACTAACATTTGCCTGGGAGCAAAGGTAACTTCTGCATCCATTGACTAACCACTTCCTGTCCCTCCAACTCACCACACCTCCCAGTCCCTGGGTCTACTTTGCTACTCTGAGAGATCAGCTGCTGTGGATACTGTATCCGAGAAGATTGAGCGGTATTGGTCTTGTGCTGTCTGGCCTATCATTAGGTGTGTTCAGCTGGCCTTTTCCCAGTGGGTCTAAAGAGCCAAGTGTAGTCTGTAAAAGCTGAGATCACCTCATGACTCTCAAATAACCTTCACCTAGTATCACGCTGCTTCCAGGATATCAGTAGGCTTGCTTTACCTCAGTGCCAGGGAAGCCAGGTGCACCATCTTTTCCAGGTTTCCCCTAAAACAAAACCACTTAAGTTTTACTAATGTTAAACAGGTTGACTTTAGTAAACAGAAAACATTTATGATACAATTTCCTTTTGACATAAGGCAAGAAAGGTGCAGGGAGGTTCCTCACTGTCTGATCTTGTAAGGTAAGACTCCCGATCTTACAGGAGATGGGCATCTCTTCCCAGAGAAGGCGGATGCCAGTTAGGATCATTGATTAGAGTCAAAAGGAGGGAGAGAAGACAGCAAAGCTTTGCGTGGAGTTCATGTCCCATCCTGACGCTGGAAGTAGACCCAGGGAAGCACCAAGCGGAGAGGTAAATAAGGAATTTAGAGAGAAGGAAGTAGTTATAACTTAGTGATTTGAAATGCAATTTCTTAAATCCTAGATAAATATTTAAATATTGTAGTGTCTGAGTAGACATGTCTTTCAGATGAAACGTTATGGTCTGGACCCTTTCTGAGAGAATTAAAATCAGGCAAGCTGTATCACTTTTCCTTGAACATCCCCACTCCACTTGCCCTGCCTCAACCCATGCTTTTTAGGGTTTTTACATGCTATATCTGTTTAAATCTTCCAAAATGGAGCTGAGTCGAGAAGTGACCCCATTTGTTTCTGGGTTCCCAGCATCCCTCTTCCAGACACACTTTGGGAGTTGTTCTTTCTCTAAGCTGACTGCTTCTGTTGCTGTCATCCACATGAGTCCCCTGACTAGTGTGTGTGTGTCCAGTTTCTTCTTAGATGTCATTAGCCTGACATTGCATGGGCTGTACCTCATTCCTTTCCCCTTTCACAGAAGATCATCATTTCTTGGACCAAATAGCCTGGTACCCAGAGAAGAAGTGAGGTAGAGAGAGGGTCCCGTCCCAGCTTTCTGAAGTCCCTGGAACTTGTTTTAGGCTTGAAATTTTCAGATATTTGGAAAAATAAATCCTTTCACCAAAACTTAAAAAAAAATAATAAAAAAAAAACATTTCTAGTTGGAGCATCTCACTCTGTGACCCAAAGATTCCCAAGTTCTGCCTTCCTTGGCTACACATGATACTGAATTGCCACCTTACCCTTGGACCAGGCTCTCCAGGAACACCCTTTTCTGATCCATAGGAGTCTCCAGGTGGCCCCTGTGTGACCAGAGTTATGGAATGCTTTAGAAATGCACTTTCTGATTTTGTACCTTCATGATTAATAATTCATCCATTCTATTGGGCATATTTAAAATTAGGTAATCTAAAAGTCTTATGATAAGATTGAGTTTTATCTTAAAAACTGTGGTTGGAAAGCTGAAGTTGTACCTATTCACACTTGATGGCTTCTGGCAGGGTGGGGGTCGGGGAAGACTCAGGTTTTTTTTGAGGGGTTAGTGTCACTGGGAGTTTGATCATGCTCCAGTGAGCACATGGGTAACTCAGATTGGACTGGTGTGGGACAATTCTGTATTTTGTCAATTATGTTTTAAATAAACACTGATTGGTCAGTAGCCAGGCAGGAAGTAGAGGAAGGACAATGAGAACAGGAGTATTCTGGGAAAAAGAAAGCTCTTTTTGCAGTCCTGTCCAGACATCGAAGAAGCAGGATGTGACCTGCCCCTCTGAAAAAGGTATCGAGCCATGTGGCTAACATAGATCAGAATAATGGGTTAATATAAGTTATAAGAGCTAATAAGAAGCCTGAGCTAATGGGCCAATCAGTTTTATAACTTATGGAGACCTCTGTGTGATTTTCTTTGGGACTTGCCGGCTATGGGAACTGGGCAGGACAGAAACCCTAACAAGCTGGCCTTCATATTACATTGGACTTGGTAAATTTTTCCTTCTTTTGTTTTGGGGAAGAGCATATGGGTTGGGAGTAGACCTGGGAGGACTGGGAAGTGAATATGATTGAGATGCCTCAGGTGAAATTCCTAATTAATCAATAAAAATATTATATAAAAAGAATTAGTTTTAAATAGATATTCAAAATCAGGTGCTATAGTCAAGTCAGACCTAAAGTAGCACAGAGATTTCACCCAGAAAAGTTTTCAAAAATAATTTTAGAATATTCCTGGGCTCTGTGTTTTAGTCAACATCAATATTTAAAGGCTGATCATTCATCAATATATGGATAAAGATTGTAATAATTGTACTCGGGTTACCGATAAAGAATAAGGCCCATGGTAGGGGGCGTGTTCAGAGGAGTTGCGGGAGTGGGAGAGGAGTCATGGGTGGACATAAATTATGATACATTGCATATCTGTACAAAATTGTCAAAGAATAAAAATATTCTTAACCATATGTATTAAGGCTCTGTTTTATGTGTCATAGGAATAAAATGACTTAAATCACCTACCAAGGGTCCGGGACGCCCAGGTTCACCCATCTCTCCCGTATCTCCTTTCTCCCCCTTGAAGTCCTGTTACAAATACAGTTCAAGGTCATTATCACAAACCAACCAAATACGATTAAACCAGTTGCATGAAATACCCTCTGTACAGTGAAACTAGGTGTGAAAACCAGTACTGGGCCTCATGACAACAGCACATGGTTCTTCTTATTTCTCACCTTTCACTTTAAATATGAACTCACGTTAATACAACCTTTCAAAGAAAAGGAACCCCTTGTGTATCTCCAGTAGAGATGTAACAGTAACTGTGTTAGTTACTATTACATCTGCCAGCCAATAACGGTGTAAGATCAGAGTTCTTCTACATCTCTGTTTCTAATCATTCACTACAGTTAACCGAAACAGATAACACAGAAAAACCAAACATCACATGGTAATTGGTAGAGCTCAGACTTCTAAACTCTTTTAAGATCAAAATATAGATATGATTATTGATGGTTTTCAAAACATTCTCTCGTCTTTGGTGAAGATGTGCTATGTCTTTATTAAAATGTGCTTTTGTACTGGGGAGATAGATCAGGAGAGCACGTGAGCCCTGGTTCTAATCCTTGGCCCTAGCACAGGCACCCCAGGAATCGGACCAGTATTATCTCAGCATGTCATCCACCCTTAAACAATTTATAATTGGGCACTAACCTTAAATCCACTCATCTGTATAATGAAGCTCAGGACTAGTAAAAATAATCTACTGATAGTTTGTTGCCTGCCCTCCAAGTGCAGGTGTTACTGTTGACTTGCTTTTTCATGCACTTTTCCTAGGAGATGATGCTAAAAGAACGTCATTGAGTGTTCAAAGCACCCTTTAAACGGTAGCTTAATTTATCTATGCTTCTTTGGGAATTTTGAAGAAATTTGATCTTTTGGAAGAGGAAGTGTTGTGAGAGGTGGGAACTCTGCCCCGTGTGCCTACAAGCAGTAAAAGGTGGTCAGAGAGTGCAGAAAATTAATTATCTTTTGGATCAAATTACATTATACCAGCTTTCTGTAAGTGCATTCATTTCTAACACATTCAAATCACTTTTATTGGTACACTACTTTTCTCCTTCCCGCCCCAACACATTTTTTACTAATTATTTGGGAATTTACTAAAATGCACCCCAATACACTCCCTTTCCCACTCCTCCCAGGTCAGTCCTCCAACTCTTGCACCCCATCATTCTCACCCCAAAACTACCAAGTCCAATTTGTGTTGCCCATATACTCATCAGAGTACGGTCAAACTCCCAGTAGCCAGTCCCTTAAAGTCCCAAGCCTGTTCGCAACCCTCTGCCAGAAGCCAACAACTGTGAAGAGCTACACTTCAGCATCTTTATCACAACTTTTAAGCTTCCTGTATGGTATGGACTGTTTCTGTTTTGGGTAAGGGTGGAGGTTGTCACAGAGGCCTTCAATGTCTCTCATTCTCAGTGATAAATCTTCAGTCATCAATACCACTGCAAAAGGAGCTTCCTTGAACATAGCAGCCTACAGAAGCATGGATCATGAACTTCCACACAGTTTCCAGGGGCAGTTCAGATCATAGACACCCACCTTGGTCCTTGGTGGCAGCATATATCATAGATATCAACATGGCCTCCCATAGCACAACATGGATCATGGACACCAGCTTAGCCTATGGCCCTAGCTTTGATCATGGGTATTCAGTGCAGAATGGTCCATACATGGAAGTCTTCTGAGGAGACTTAGAGCAGAAAATGAACCATTTTTCATCTCAGCTATCTTGCTGTTCAGAGTCAGTGTGTGTGTGGGGGGGGGGGGGGGAGTGTCAAGTCAGCCCCGTGAGTCATGCAGATCTGAATGGCCTGTGTCATGGTGACATCCAGGCCAGAAGTGCAGCTGAGGACTATGTATGAGTTTGTGAATCTAGGATCAGTGTTGATGTCTGAGGTTCCTGTTACCATTGAAGGCCATATGGATGCCTGGGATCTGTGGCCAAATTAATGTCCGAGGGCCACGCTGTTGAGGATGCTTGCGATCAGCTACCCAGGACAATGGACATCTAGGCCTGGTTGCTGCCAAAAACCATGTCTAGGTCTGTGTGTGCTTCCACCAAAGGTTACTCAGAAGCTCAGGGTCATGGCCACAACATGTGGCTTTGATGGTATCCAGGAGGTGTGACACCACCAGAGCCATCCTGATCTGGGTGGCCTGTGCTTCCACCAGGAGCCACAATGTATTTGGGCCCAAGCTGCTGCTGAGGGCCATGTCTGGATCCCTGGTCCTGATGCAGCTGGGGTCTTTGTTGATGTCTGTGGCCCGTGTGGCCTCATGGGGCCGTGGAAACCATGCATGGTGGAATCAGAGGGACATGCAGAGCTGACCCTGCCCTTTGCTGGCCCTGGGATAGCGGGCTCTGTCCTTTGCTGGCCCTGGGATAGCGGGCTCTGTCCTTCGCTGGCCCTGGGATAGCGGGCTCTGTCCTTTGCTGGATGCTTCAGCAAGAGAGTTACTCCCCCCATGGGCCCATCCCTTGCCACAGGTTGGGGATAGCTGACCCTGATGGCCTGGGCGTAAGGGAGATGGCTCCACCCCTCACCTGAGGTGGGTGGCCCCAGGGGCCTGGACCAACCAGTTCAACTACCACCCAGGCTCACAACCAGGCTTGGGGTTGGCCCACTCTAACATCTACCTCATCTTGGATCTTTTGGAGCTCATGAAAGACCTTGTGGAACCATAATGACAGGATCTCCATGATTCAGGGCAGCTGAGGGCTATCCAAGAGGAGTTCTGTGAGGGTCCAGTGATGATGGTGTGCAAGAAATCAGAGTCCTTGAACCAGACCAGAACTCACTGCAATGAACAAGTAAAGCTGATTGGTAAAGAGGGTCTATTGTGTGACACACCATGGTTTCCAGTGCCACCAGGAAGAATGAAGAGGTGTTGGAGAGGTGAGAAAGAGGGATGAGTGAAGAAGTTTTGTTGTTGTTGTTTTATTTTTTTCTCTTTGTGTTTGTTTGCTTTTTTTTTTTAATTTTCATTTGCAAGGGGGAGGGCAGGATAGAGAGGAACTAAGAGGTGGGGTGCATAATGTGAAATTCCCAAATATTCAATAAAGAAATTATGTTTAAAAAATGAAAATAAAAAGCACAGAGGGGAAAAAGATTGGCAGTGATTGTGGTTGCCCAAGTCAGTGAGCATTGAAGCCACTGAGTTGAACATAATGTGTGAATATTATAAGCTGTATATTACACTACAAAAATTGTTAAGATTTGTTATAATTAAAACCCATGAGGTTTTAATTAAATACCCCTTTAAAACGGGTATTTTATATTTAAATCTATGTATACAATATTCTGTCTGTGTGTATGCCTGCAGGCCAGAAGAGGGCACCAGATCCCATTACAGATGGTTGTGAGCCACCATGTGGTTGCTGGGAATTGAACTCAAGCCCTTTGGAAGAGCAGGCAATGCTCTTAACCTCTGAGCCATCTCTCCATCTCCTCAACTAAACTATTTTTTAAAAACAATTAAATGTAACTTTCAGGATTTAGTTTCTTGGTTAATTCCATACCATCTGAGTTCTTTATTTACCCTCCCAGACTTCCCAAGCCCAGGCTAGTGCCTGGATTGGTGCATGGTACTATGAATTCATTTCCTAACCACTCAATTCAGCTCCAAAGCCTGGCCTTCTTCATCCCACTATAGGAGCAAAAACAATCAGTGTCCAAATGACAAGGAGCAGTGCTTGGGGAAGACTGAATGTGTCCTTGGGGTTACAATGGCCATGCCAAGGGTCCTGTTAGACTATAGTATGCCTCTACCTTGTCAATAGGTCATTGCCATCCTATTGTATCAAAGCCACACATACTGTGTTAGGGGTGATAAGAGGGAACAGGGAAGAGTGTGAACAGAATTGGGCCATTGCCTTGGAATCACATGGCTCTCCCTCTCCATTTAACTTTTCCATCCCTCACCATGAAAGATATTGGGAGAAATTAAACTGAGATATTCAGGCTGGCCAGGAGTGGGAAACTGGGACAAACAAGGATGATAATGGAGCTTGGAGAAGAGATGAGGGATCATCAAGATGTCTTTCCGGAAACAAAGAACAACCATAGTTACAAAGCTACAGCCTTACCAATGTGTTGTTTGGGTGGATGAGTGTAACAATGACTGTTCCTTGCAGCCCAGGAGGTCCTGTCAATCCTTTCACGCCCTAAAGACAGTTACAGCAGAGAATGAGAGCCACCCAACATCATCAACACAGCAGATTTACCCTCTCAAAGGCCTGTTTCCTCTCCCACCTCATATACAACAAAACTCATTTCAACATGGCCCGCAAATTAACTAGAGGGAAATGCACTGGGGAGCGTGTGTCTTCTGACCCATTAACCCACGAGGTGGCATGCCAATTACCCTTTCTCCTTTTTGTCCTATGGCATTATCGCCCATATGACCCTGTAAGAAAACATGAAATGCCATTGTTAGGTCTCAGGAAGTCCATATGTCTAGAAATGAGTTCAAGCTGAACTATATATAGAAGGATTTCTGGAAGTTAGATAAAAGCCAGCATTCCTCAGGAACTTATAAAACGTCTCCCCAAAAAGTCATTTCTCTTGGATCTTGCAGAAGGGGACATATAATTCCACTGACAAGACCCTGTGGTTGAACATGAGAGCCCAAGCCCCAGGCTCCTCAGACCTTACTCACGAGTATTTGTTAGATGTTTCAAAGGCCCCACTCCTCCGTCCTTCCAGATACCGGCTTGTTCTCTCTATATAGACAGAGTGCCCCCCAAGCAATCTATTGCTGTCTCACTATCTCCACTCTTCTCTCTTTCCCTCTCCCTCTCTTGATTCTATGATCATGTCCAGTGTCCAGTCTGCAGTCTTTTTTTTTTCCTCTGCTCTGGGCTTTTCCAGGTGTCTCTGGATATTTTTTCCTCTCTTACTAATAATGAAAGCCTTCACCCTAATAATGGAGCAGTCTTGTTGGCAATTTCTGTACTGCACCTTCTCCTCTACAGTTATTATATTTAAAAAATAAATACTAATAATTGGGGTTCATTAACATTTCAGTCTTTTAAGTGAAGACATATATTCATCTTAGTTTTGAAATTATAAAGCTTTATTACTACTTTTATAGAAGAACAGCAACATGTTTCTTTTAAAGGTGACAGTTTGGGGGCCCAGGAAATTGGAGACCCACTGAATATAACGGATGTCACATTGACGTTGGGGAGCGGAAACCAGCACAAAGGGAATTTCTCTGGCTAAGCACCTGTCTGGTTTTGAGCCCATTGACCGGTTACTTCCCGGTGAGCCCTTAGATTTCTGGCCATCTAACTTCCTTTTCTGGCTGCCTCACTTCCTGATGCCCTACTTTTGCCATGCTAAAAATAAGAGAGGTGAGCAGCTGAACTTTGAGATTCTGAAATTCACGTCAGAGAAGCCAAGAGTGGAAAGCGAGCCATGGTGTCTTTAGTAATTGAGTGGCGTGAGGCCACAAGAGAGGAAAAGCTTCCACTCAGCAGCAGTGCCTACTGTGGTATGAACACCCATCACAGCGAATGCGGAAACCTACCACCAACTGTAAAGTATTAGGAGGTAGGGCTGGGAGGGGGGACTGTTAAAAATGATCCAATTGGTTCATTCTTGGACTAAGGGAATAGTGAGGTGTGGGGAGGAAAGTGAGCTCTCTGCTTCTCTCCTTCTGTTTTTTCATATGATACCTATACTCTCTCTGCACTCCGTAGTGCACAGGGGCTACAGAAAAGGCTCAGCGGGTAGATGGCCCGATTCTGTGGACTGGGGTCGAAGACAAAGTGGCAGGCCCGAGCCAGAGTTTTTGTTGCCCTCTCCTTCTGATATAGGTGCAAGATTGTACCCCAAACTTTGAGCCCAAATAAGCTTTCCCTGTCTCAGCTTGCTTTTGTTGGGTACTTGGTATCAAGAATGAGAAAAGCAACCCCCACAGTCTCTGTCCCATTGGTGTAGAGAGCTGCAGGGGAATCAAGAGATTTCAAACCTCAGTTGCTACTCATGTAATCTGAACTTAGAAGAGACAGAGGAAGAGGGAGGAAGAGGGGGAGGGGAACAGGACTCGGGGAGGGACAGAGAGATTGCTTGCGTGCATCTATCAGTGAAGTAATAAATGCAAGAGCATACTGGGAAGGATCATGTACATCGGGTCATTAATATCAATAAGAAACACTGCTTAGTAAGGCCTCCTTGGCGACGTTAGCTTCATGCAACATTTTTTAAAATTTAACTTAACTTTTTATTCACTCAACATTTTTATCCTTAAGCTACAACTTGACTTTTTAGTAGAAACACTGAAAGACCACACAAAGTCACCTTTCATTTAGGCATATAAGATCACACGGATTTTGCAAAGCAGCCTGATGGCCCAAGGCAAGATTATCAGCCTCGGAAGTCTATCCATTAGAAACCCTTGCTTTTCCCCAGTTATGGCTGGTCCTGTCCCCTGTCCTGCTGGGATTCCTGTGATCCCAGGGAGGTGCCCACTGTGGTCTGATAGGCTTTTGGGCTGGGTAGGGTGCTCTGACTGCTATAACGTGGGAACACAGACTTACCTTTGGTCCTCTGGGTCCCATGGCACCTGGAAGACCCTAGAAAAGCCATAAGGAAACGTTGCAGCAGGAGTCGTGCCCAGCCAGAGAATGCTCGTAGACATTGAGAGGGACTTCATACTCACAAAATCTCCTGGGGGACCAGGTGGACCGGCAGGCCCTGGAAAACCTGGGGGGCCTGGAAAACCCTTGAAGAGAAGAAGGAATTCAGTGTACTTGTTAGACAGTGATGTTTTAATGGAATCACAAGAGCATACCGCCTCCTTTCTAAGTGACAGCAACCAACCATTCTAACTCATTGTTGGAGGCAACAGATACCTGGGATAGTCTAATGCTACTGCATATGGGGCATTGCCAGCAATGCTTCTCTACTTGGGCAGTTTTCAGGGTTTTTTCCTCTTTATCTCTTTCTCTCTCCTTTCCTGTCTTTTCCTTCTTCCTCCCTGTATTTGGACAGTGTTTCTCCTCCTTCTTTAGGACCGGCCCCACCTACAGCTCTCCTGCCTAGTTTTCCTTATACCTATACTATCACTTCTTTCCTTTCTCTCTCTGGCTGGCATTCTCAGAAGGCTGCCCTCTCGGCTGGATCAGTACCTTGAGTTAACTGACTGTGTCACCAAAGCTCTGGGCTCCTTCTCTCTCTGTGTATAGCTGGAGTTCTTCCCTGTTGATACTTCCTAGTCCTACTCCCTGCATTACCTTTCTCATTAGCATTCATTATGTTGTAACACAAGGTACCGTTATTGACTGATATGTTTTTCTGTCTACTCATCAGATTGTGGTCTCCACGAGGACAAGAATTTTAGAACTGGTCGTTGGCTAATCTGGGCTCTAGAGCCTGGAAATAATCCTGCCGACAACTGGCCTCTAAGAAATCTTAAACATGTCGCACTGTCTTCAGGGCCTGTACAATAAATAGTGCACAGAAGTGAACTGACAGGAGACAGCTGTGTCCTTTCTGCACCACTGATCCCTCCACTGGATCAAGAGCCATCCTGTCCCATCCCTCTCTTAGGAGCCCATTACCGCTGCAAGCCACACACCTGTAGTTGTTGGGCTCTGAGCCCAATTTCACAGCTTAGTTGACCTGGCTCACCGTTCCTCCACAGCCTCAATTCAAATTCTCATTCACAGAGGTAAATATCCCGTCTCTTTGCAGAAATTCTCACACTTAATTCCAAACTAAGGTGAGTTAGTTCTGGTTCATTAGCCTGAAATTATAGTCGATGTCTACCTAAGGGGGCCTTCTGAATCACAAAGTTTAAAACAAGCCCCAGATAGCTGTGTTTCACTGGATTTATTATGAAACACCGCCAGGCTAGCTACAAATGGACTAGTGAAGCAAACTATTGGAGGTTCAATGGGGGAGAGAACCACCCTTCAGTGAAACTCATAAAGATGCTGTGTAAACATTGGCGCCAGCTTGTTCAGCACTCCAATTGTAAGTGGTAGTCAATGCATGGTGTGAACCTGTCCTTGATTTCAGCCAATATGAAGAGAGTAGAAATCGTCCCTGAACAGTCTCGAGTGACAGACACTTAAGAAGAGAATAAAAGATATCCACAATGTCATTTTTTTTGCATATCACTGTGTTGCTCCTCTCAATGGAGTCAATGTTAGAATGACATGTGAGGCGGACATTGTAGACAGGGAGAGAAGAGAGGAAAGAGAGAGGCCGGGAGGAATGGGGGAGAGAGGGAGATAGATAGATAATATGAATATGCTATAGTACGAATAAGAATATGAATGAGAGATCCTTCTAGAAGTATTGTACCTGGAAGCCTGGAGGCCCTGGAAGCCCAGGGTCACCTTTGCCATTGAGTTCCCTGTCTTCTCCTTGAGCAGGCTCACCCTTGGAAACAGAGACGGTCAGTCATCAACTCCAATCAACTCCAATTGAGTGCTTATTCAAGGTTCTACCTCCTTAAAGCTGAACACTTGTGAGGATATATACACTTAGAGAAGCATTTTGCAAATGTGCAGATCATTCCTTTTTGAAGCATTCAAAGAACTCATTAAAATATTTGTTAGCCTCTATAAATTATATATAATGATGAATTTCATTGTGACATTTATGCACTTGTATATAAAACGCCTTTTGACTATATTCACTCTCACTACCCACCTTTCCTCCAGCACTCCTGCTGATTATAGTTCACCCCATACTTTCCCACCACACACGTGTATGTGTGTGTGTTTGTGTGTGTGCACGCGCACACACGCACCCACGTACACGTGAGTTTAATTAAGGTTTCTTATAGGACCACGGCTGAGGGGCTATTTATATGCTCATGGACAACTTACCAATGGCTACACCACTGAGGAAAATCTCTCTCCTTCCCCAACAACCATTAGCTTCCTATAGCTCCTCAAGTGAGGGTGGGGTTTCACAAGCCCCTCCTCCCACTTTTCTACTATTCTTAAAAATCCGTCAACTTGTAATGATAGAAGGAAAAAGAATAATAAATCATTTCCTAAGACACCCAAAGTGGTAGTAATTCTTAACCTATAATGTGGAGTCTCAAACATGAGATCAGTTTCTTGCCCCTTGATTCTTCTTCTTGAAAGAATGGCATAACCATTCAAAGACCTGTCTATGGTGAGAGTCAGAAGAATTTGCTCAATAGGAGACAGTGCCATGTTTTAATTTCTACAGTATCTGAATTATTAATACCAAGACCTGACTTATGAGGTCAGTGTGTTATAGTTTATATTTCACTAATTAATTGAAATATTTTTTCATACATATGGTTAGAGATATTCAGTAATAGTAGATGACAAATGACTTACTTTTTGTCCTTTCAAACCAGCAGGACCCTGGGAAAGAAGCAATGCATTAGCCACCGGAGGCCAAACAAATCCATACACTTGATCTTGTCTCTACTTCCTTATATTGCCTGCTGGCCCCATAACATTCTAACATTCTTGCTACTGACTTTCAATGTCCTCAAATTCGCACATTTCAACAGATCAACAGTTTCTTCTTCATCTTCTGCCTCCCTCCAGTACAGACAGCCTTTCTTTCATCTTGCCTGCAAATTTATATCCTGTTCTTCTCCCGCCTACTCCCTAGTTCCATTTATGCCTCCCAGGTCCTTCCTGCCATGGAACCATTGCTTTCCAAGGTCAGCAATGACTTCATGTCATTTGCTAAGACCAAGTCATTAGTTCTTGTATTACCAAACCTTTCAGCATCCTTGGGTTGCCCCATCCTTCACTGAAGTCAGTTTCCCCAGGACTTCTATTCTATACTCTTTCTGGTTTGCTCTCTGCCATTAGGGCCTTTCCTCCTTTCCCTGCCTGCTCATTCCTCCTGACTTTGAAGTTACATGCTGAAGTCAAGTCTGACTTCCCATTCATTGCTCCCTATGCTCTCTCTGAATTGCTGGAGGCTTCACCTCACATCCTCTCCTCCAGTCTGTCTGCTTATTATACATCTTTGTGTGGTTACGTCAAGTAAAACAAAGCCTTAATGTCTAAACGTGACCTCATAACCTTCTGCCTTCCTTCCTTCTTTCCTTTCTTCCCTCCTTTTCTTCCTTCTTTCCTTCTTCCTCTCTTTTTTCTTTTTCTTTCTCTCTGTCTCTTTTTTTCTTTTTCTTCAGAGTCTGATAACGTCTTATCCTTCCCCATATCATGAGGGGCTTGTGTACACAACACACAGAATGGACTACTTTCATCCATACTTTATGTTTGTGATGTGGAGAGAGCGATGGAGACTTACTGGGAGCCCCGAATAGCCTGGTGTCCCGGGAATGCCTGGGAATCCTTGTTCACCCTAGAAGACAAGGAAAGTTTGTCGGAATTCTTAGCTGTGCTAGAACGTCCCACGCGGGTAGCTATCCCCGAGTGGTCCCTCCAACCAATTGTTAATGCGGTTGACAACTCTAGGCAAACCAATTCAAATTCTTGATGGTTACTGCTTAGAGGGCCGAGGGCCAGAAACCCATTATCTTAGTTGAGAGTAAGATCAGGTCGACTGCTCCTCAAATTAAGCATAAACAGCAGCCTAATTGTGCCAAGAACTTTTTAATTGCTGCTGTTGGAACTTTGGTAATTAGTTCACTTGTGGCCACCCTTCTAGGGGGGAGGGCAGGGCTCTGCTGGGACACAATAGAGGCAAGAGGGCCCTTCAACGCTCAGGTTTTCCTTTCCAGACACTAACTTTGTTCTCGAAGCTTTATTCTCTGATTGGTACCTACAACTTCTGATGCAAGAGAGTCATTGAGCTTCTGTGCGAATTGATTGGAAAACTCCCTTAAATCCATATATAAGGAGCAAGGAAGCAATTGATATTCAATCATGCTGTTGATGCTGATTTAAAGAATGCTACTAGAAAGTCCATTTCCATTTCACTACAGCCTCTTCCTTGCCCTTTCATCCAGCAATGCTCTCACTAACCACCCGTGCGAGCAGGACATACCTTAGAACCATTGCATCCTGGTAAACCAGCCAGCCCGGGAGGCCCAGGGTGGCCTGGGATGCCCTAGAAAGAGAGCAAGACTCACTGACAAAGACAGAGGCAGCATCACCAGCCCCAGGACCCTGAAAAAAAGGCTGGACTCAAGAAAAATGAAGAGTGGTTTTAAATGGCTATTGGCTAGAAATGGTTGCTTCAATGCTTACATGGCAAATTTAAATTGTAGATCTTTGATATAATTTAATACCACAGGAAAGAAAACATGCTAAGATAAAGATTGTTGGGTGAGATGTGGATATTTTAGATAAAAATCTAGGAAACAGAAAGTGGGATTGCATGGCATGCTGTTCTAAGTGAGAGAGGAAGGGAGGGAAGAGGACAGAATAGTCACCGAGGGGACTGTGGCATTGTTCTGTGCTACAAACCAGGCTGTTCTAGTTTGTTCTACCGCTGCTACTCAGTTCTGCTCAGGGGTCATACAAATCCACACTCCTCATGGTCAGTCCTAGGGTGTGTTTTCTTCTTGTAAAGAGTGTGTCAGACATGCTTCTTTGTGTGACTATTCTAACATTTTCATTAAGATGATCATGTGAGTAAGTGCACACACAAATGTACACATGCATGCACATATATGTGCATATGTACAATGCATACATATACACGCATACATATATACACATACACATGTTACACATACATATACACATATACAAATGTACACACACATACATATAGGTATACATACACAACACACAAACTTATACGCAAAAATATATACACATACATACATATACACACAATATACGCACAAACATCTGTATACAGACATATACAGATGTGCACACATACACACATAATACATATGCAAACATACATACACCCATATGCTTCTAATTACTTACTGGAAGTCCAGGAGGACCTGAAAATCCTGGTAATCCAGTTATTCCCTAAACATAAGCAAAAGAGGAAGGGATAGAGAGAAAAACAGTTAAAAATGTTCATCCTATAAACATAAAATTATTCGCCATTTCAATGATCATTCCTTTGCAGCTATGTATTGAGTATATCAAAAGGTGATTCGAAAAACAAACAAAAAGGCTTGACAAACCTTGGTACATCTGGCCTTGGCAGCTTTTGCTTTGCTTGGTGAGAGTCGCCCTTGCTATGCGTGTGGCCTCGACTGGTCTCGAGCTCACTGTGTATATATCCAGGGCTTTGTTCGTGCTTGTGAACTTTTGCCCCTGCCTCCCATTTGTAAACCTGGTGTGTGTGTGTGTGTGTGTGTGTGTGTGTGTGCACATGTGTGCATGCATGTGTGTGTGCATGCATGTGTGTGTATGCACGTGTGTGTGTGCATGTGTGTGTGTGTGCATGTGTGTGTGTCTGTCTGTGTCTGTGTGTGTCTGTCTGTCTGTGTCTCTGTGTGTGGTGTTTGTGACACAGTAAACTCGTGGAGATCAGAGGACAACTTTGGGGGAGTTTTTTTCTGTTTTTCACCTTGTTGGGGCAGGGCCTCTCTTGATATTTCTGCCATCCAACACTCAGGGTGGCAGCCCATCTCCTATATCCACCTCCTATTTGGATATATGAGTACTGGGATTGTGCACTACTGAATCTGTTTTTTTTTTTTTTTAATATAGTAGCTTCCTGGTATTGAACTCAGATCATCAGGCTCACAATCGCTTTCCCCTGTGGGAAGTTTTACCTTATAAAACTCTTAAGAGGGGGCTGTTATGGTTGCTTTGGCTGTGGGGAATTATTTTTTTGTTTGTTCTTTGAGATAAGGGCTCACTCTAATAGCCCAGCCTAGCCTGGAAATATTGCTAGGCAGCCCAGCCTCGAATTTATAACAATCCTCCTGCCTCAGCCTCCTGAGTGCTTAGGTTGTAGGTGTGAGTCACTACACCTGGCTGAAATTCATTTTTAAGGTATATTTTACATGCAGTAATCTGTTTATGCTCTGTGAAAAGCAAGGATTTTTAATATATATCCTTCTTTCCCTCCTTTCATCCCTCCTTCCCTCCTTCCTTCCCTTCCTTCATTCCCTTCCCTTCCATCTTTCCTTCCTCCTTCCTTCCCTCCCTCCCTCTCTCCCTCCCTCCCTCCTTCCTTTTTTCCTGCCTGCCTTCCTTCCTTCCGTGCCTTCCCTACCTTCCCGTTCCTTCCTTCGTTCCTTCATTCCCTCCCTCCCTCCCTCCCTCCCTTCCTTTCTTGAGTCTTGCTATGTTGCTCATGCTATCCTTAACTCCCACTCCTCCTGCCCTGTCGCTAGAGTGGTGGGATGCGAGACGAGCACCACCAAGGCTGGATACTCACGGTTGCTTCATAATCACTTCTACCTCAAACAGGACCAGCATCTTCATCACTCTTGAAAGTCCTCTTGAGCCCTTGCCCCACCAGTTCACATCTGTCCCTAAGTTGGTGACCATTATTTTGATCTCAGCTAGTGGTTTAATTTTCCTGTTCTCAAACTCAATCTGGGGAGCTAGACACGATGGACAGCCTCCTCTCTGACATTTGAATAATGTTTCCTACTAGACGATTGTTAGTGTTCAACCAACCATCAGACCAGATGGGTGGAACTACTAACCCTGATGCCTTTGGGGCCAGTGAGCCCTGGAAGTCCTGGAGAGCCCTAGATCCGAGTAGAAAAAGGAAAAGTCAGTACAGCAAAAACCTTTTGGTGGTAACACACACACACACACACACACACACACACACACACACACACACTGGACGCTCCAGGCTGGTCTCCACGGGTACTACACCACCCTGCCTCCCCCACACACCGGACACCCCAGGCTGGTCTCCACGCTGAGCAGTTTTCCTCCTGTGAATATTTCCCTGTTGGTAAATCTTGATCACTTGATCCAATCAAGTACCAATCAGAATGGACAAACAAAACTGCATTTATACTCTTGCTACTCAGAAGTGTCATCAGGGACCAATGACTTGGCATCGACCTGGGAACAGTCCCGCCCCTTTTCCTCATCCCAGGCATATTGATTCAGAATCCACATTTCATCAGGATTTTGTTGGGGTTCTCCTGCACTGGAAAGTGCTGCGAGCCTGTAAAAGACTCACATTAGCCCAGCAGCTTCTGAGGTCTGATAAGGAAGAACGCCGTGGTTAAAACGGCCAAGGAGGGCAGCAGCTGGTGACTCCGTGCAGGAGAAACAACATTTCACAGCGAAAGGTGCCTGCCACGTAGGAGAAAATGAGTAACAAAGCCAGGACTGCCTGCACCACACATGACTTTCTTTCCAGCGCATCCCAGTTTGAGGCCCCCTTTCATAGGGAATAACCTTAAATGGAGAATATTTTAGCTACACTACTTGCTGTGAAAGCACCATTGTGCGAAAGCTGTTTTCGTCATTCCAGAGAGTTTCAATTTTTTTTTCCTTTTTGAGAAAAGGCTGTTACAGAGTCTTCTGAGATTGGACTGTCTAGGCCAAAGTCAACCCTTCCCTTCTGAGGTGGAATTCCTGGGTGCAAGGTCATGTTCAAGGCTGTCTCTTTCCCTGGGTGGAAGCTGTTTTGTTATGCCTAGGTCGGAAAAGTAGACAGATTTGCAGGTTCTACTTCCCTGTAGTAAATCCTCTTGTGCAGAAAATAACACTGAGAAAGGAAGCCTATGAATCTGAAAGGTAATTTGGCAAGATTTTAATGTTTTCTGGTTGTTTGCCTTCAGTCAAGTTCTCCCTTGGGGCTGTATGTACCTCTAAGCTATGTTTGAAAATAAGATCTCATGACATGACAGGCATTTCCTGGGTTAGTTTTGTGGAGTATCTGCCCAATGTGCAATCTACACGAGGCAGCATGGCGCTAACAACTCTAATTGCAAGTGGTATTCCTCAAGGGGTGCTGAAGGCAAGCGAGCAGAGTAGGGCATAGGGAACGAAAGAAGAAAGGAGTTCTCGGCTGGTCTACCTGTAGGCTTCACACACCGAAAATACTTGGACCAGAGAAACGAAAGGAAATGCAAGCCCAAGCCCTGAAAACAGTCAATGGAATAACCAGAGTTTTAAAAAACGTGAGTGTGTACATGCATGCATGTGTGTGTGTGTTATGCATGTATGTGGAAGCCAAACGTGTGTGTGTTATGCATGTATGTGGAAGCCAAACGTGTGTGTGTGTGTGTTATGCATGTATGTGGAAGCCAAACATGTGTGTGTGTGTGTGTGTGTGTGTGTGTGTGTGTGTGTGTGTTATGCACTATGTGGAAGCCAGATTTGGCATTTGGTATCTTTCTCTATTATTCTGCATCTTACGTTTTCAAACAGAGACACTAACTGAACTGAGAGTGTTAATTGGTTCAGTTAGGTTGGCTGGTTATTGAGCTCCACAGATCCCTTCTCTGTCCCTCTGCTCCCAGCTCTGGGATTTAGATGTGCATTGCTGTGTCTGGCTTTCACAGAGGTTCTGGGGATCTGAACTCAGGTCCCTATGCTTATATAGCCAGTACATTTTACCTTCTCAGCCATCTTGCCCATCCTAGCTAATTCAAGATTAGCATCAGAAGAAGAAAAGGAGGAAGAATAACACTGGCTTGGACCAGACAAACAGGAATGGTAGAATCCCTGGGCATCAGGCTTGGTTTTGTAAACTGTAAGTATGGCTTTCGTCGCTTAGGTGTGGTCACAGATACTTGTCTCTGCCTTTAGTGCTTGGCCTATAGCTCCTAAGATCCTTCATCCTTCCTTAGAGGTTGGGATACAAGGATTGTCTTTAGCCTCCTAATATTTGACTCCTCATATAGAGCTACCAGGTCCCTCGGAATCCCCCAACACATAGAGAGACATCTTTTGATGAGGGGATTTTTGACAGGCTCCTGGCTTGGGGCTGGTCACCAGAAAGCTAATCCCCGATTAGAAGCTAGGAGTCTCTGGTTGCAGCCCCACTGTCTAGGCTGAGGAGAGGCTCCTGCCTCCTCGAGGAAGTGCCTGCAAAAGTCTCTAGTCTGAGGTGATTACGGAGAGCTCTGGGCAGGTGGGCATCTATGAACCACAAGAGCGAGACACTTCACTTCCAGGGGACAAAAGTGCCTACACTGAGACCTTCAGTGAACCCTATGTGTCTATTCACATGTGTCCTTTATAATGAGGTGGCGAACAGAAAGGTCTCCTTGAGTTCTGTGTATGCATCACAGTGCCAACATGAGGAATATACAAAATACGGGGAGGAATAATTGGGTCAGTTCTAGGATTGAGGTAAAAATATCACTTAAGTGTTCTCTGCATTTTTCTAATAGATATGTCAATACAGTTTGCAACTTTGAAAGATTCCACAAAGATCAATTACAATGATTTTTTAATAGGTTTAATAAGTTTACAGCTTGCTGGAGACTAGTAGTCAGGAGAGGTTGTGTGCGTGAGAGCACTCGAATCTGTCTAGCTAATGTCACCAGTAGGAAGGTATGAGCAGCGGATCTCACGGTGCGGTTATTTAGCAAATCCTCTCGGGTGTTTATTGAAACGAGACCTTTGTGTGTCACACCCTTTAGGGTAAAGATGTGTGACAAGTGTGAGGGTAGCAGTCTCTGTTATAGACCTTATAAGCCTGATGCTTAACAGACCCCTCAAAGGTAGAGGTGGCTACGGAGACAGGAAGAGATTCAGGAAAAGGGACTTCCAAAACCAAAGGCAGACAGATGTCTCCAGACCCACTCGAATGGAATCAAAGAAGAGGTTCGTGTCAAGTAAAGACACAAAAGCACCCTCTCAGTGGCCATTTGGAGGTCACTGGCTATGGGGAGGTGAGCAGGAGACCAACAGGTACCACATTAACAATTTCTTCAAGAACCTGACCTATGGAAAAGACAAGGAGAGGTTGACAACCTTTGGTTAGGGTACCTAAGGATCTAGATAAAGGTATATGCCAGTATAGAAGAATACTTGAATATTTTAGCACTAAAAGAGAAGAGACAGCACCAAAAGCATAGTTCAAAGGTCTCTTAGAGAGGAGGTACTCCTGGACTACGGTCATGATGGGAATCCCAGTGGTCAGGGCACAGGTAGAAAGACAGGTCTTCAGTGAAGGAGGAAAGACCTCATCTTCCCGTGTAAGACAAGCTTGGCCAGATTCATGGCTAGAAACTACACGGGGTCTGGGTGACTAAGAATGTACCTCCAAAAGCTCAGCTAAGATAGGAAACCAAGGATTTGTTTTTCATCCACCAGGTGGCTATGATGGGAATTTCTCTTCAGGGCCTTACTGGCCTATGTGGTGGGCATAAAAAGGGGTTTGGTAAACAGAGCATTAACAAAGCTTTAAGGGTGACATACCTTGGGTCCCTGTGGTCCAGGCAAGCCTTCAGGACCTGGAAATCCTTTCTGGCCAGGTAAACCAGGGGGCCCAGCACAGCCTTTCTCCCCCTGTTAAAACCAAAATGGAACAAGAAGCAAGCAGCAATGAGCCAGCAACACACTGCACCAAACCCCAGCCTTCTCTTCTTCATGGCGTTCTTCTCCTGCATCAAAGAGTCAATAATCGCACTCAGCACCCAGGAAAACCATCATCTAGAGACACACGTCCGTAGGCTTCAAAGTGATGCCCATGTCCTTGTAGAGAATGACTTTTCCCAGATGGTAAACCTACTACTCAGGATAGAGGTTAGAATGGAAGGGACCAAGAATGGAAAGAACAGTATGTTTAGAAAATTAAGGTTAGGCCGGGCAGTGGTGGTGCACGCCTTTAATCCCAGCACTCCGGAGGCAGAGGCAGGCGGATCTCTGTGAGTTAGAGGCCAGCCTGGTCTACAAGAGCTAGTTCCAGGACAGGAACCAAAAACCTACAGAGAAACCCTGTCTCAAAAATCCAAAAAAAAAAAAAAAGAAAAAGAAAAAGAAAATTAAGGTTAGTGGAGTGTGTTTATTAAGGCATGGAAATGGTGAAGGTGAGGTGGAAAGCCTTGTTTTGAGGTCTTAGTAATGACAGAATGAAAACAGAATGCCATAGAAGTACAGACTGGAGACCTTTTGTTGTTGCATGGGAACGCATCCCCCAATCAGCTATTTTCATAGGAGCTGCAGGAGAGGTGTCAAGGGCAACATCATGATCTTGTAGGTGGAGCTAAATGATGCTATGGGCCCTAGTAGAATTGAGGTTTTTTTTAAAGCCTTCCCATGTATGTGAATACCAAGAAATAGTCTTAATAGTTAAGACCACTAGTTAATTTGTTTTGTTACATCTGGTAAATGCAACAAATAAATAAATAGATAAATAACTACATAAAGCCACAGAAAAGATTGAATGTCTGGTCCTTTCCACTGGTATGTAGGCAAGCACACCTGCTAAACAGAGACAGAAGTGGATTTGCTACACTTCTCAAAGCTCAGTTACTTTCCCATGTTTGAGGACTGCATTGTGTGTATAGCTGTTAGTTACCCTTCATTATTGTTGAATAATTAATTAATGTTTCCGAGGAAGGAGTTTGTAAACAAACAACAAATACTTTAGCTCTGCCTGTCTTAATTTTCATAAATTGCAAGTTAATGGGGCGAACTGATGAGATTTCACAGCATTCTTTTTCTTTGAATTCTGCAATGGAGCTTTGAATTTTTTTTTTCCTTGACTGGAGTGCTGCTGCTGGATTTTACCACCAGGGGGCGATCTTGTCCCAGTGCTGCGGCACAGCATCTGTGGGTTTCATTCAATGTTTACATAGAAGCGAGAGAATCAAGTTGTTTTAGTTTCTTCTTTCATGTTTAGCAACATCATAAATATAGTGTATGCTAGGGAGGCGTCTTAAAATGTTCTCTTTCTGCCAACTTGCTACTTATTCAGCCGAGAGAGTTACAGTCTAACTGCCAGTATTTACACAAGGAAGCAGGAGTAGCCAAAGCTTCGTAGAAGGCTTTCAACATTGTTTAAGGTTAATGTTTATATATAATTACTTTAAACGTGGATTTAGGGGACTTTGATAACGTAGTGAAAATCGCCACTACAGAAGAGTAAAGTGTGACAGACTCAAGGCAGCGGGATGTTCTGTTCTTACCTTCTCCCCTTTGGTCCCCACGCAGAGGCACCGGCCCTTGCCTTTGCAGACGCAGCCCTGGAAAGCGCAATAGAGGACAGTTGGTGGATAGCCAACCCATTTTATGTTCTTTGAATCTTGGACACTTAAACTCCCATGCATGGGACACTGGCATTTCATCAATAAATGTGAAGAGGAAAACCATCCTAGAAAGAGTGTCAAATGACATGGAAGTGTCACCGTTTTTTGTTTTCTGGACTTGGGAAGTTAGGCAACTTGTTTGTGGAAAAGGAAAAGCTGTTTATCTCTCTCCCTTTTTCCATGATAAGAAAAAGTTGGACTGTCTGAAACTGCCATTGTTGTGGGTGGAAAGTGGTGTAACACCGGCATATTCTTAGCTTCAGTAGATCGTGCGCTTGTGTGTGTGTGGGTGCGTGTCTGTGTCTGTGCGTTTGGGTTCAATGCATATTTGTACCTGACTTTCCTGTGTGCAACAAATCTCATATATCATGACTGAACACATAACATGTTCCACAGGTGATTCCAAGCTTCACTTTCCCTGAAACAACGCTCAAGACTAAAATAGATGCTCACTGTGTGCCTTGTAGACCTTCACTCACTATGCTGACATCTGAATGATCTTCCTTATGAAAAGAACAAAAGCTACATCACTGAGCTGGGGAAATGCTGTCCTATCTCGTCCCTTTGATACCTCCACAAACTCAGCCCTTAGAAACTATGTACAGATCAGCTCTAAAAAATATTGACTACCTACAGAGAAACAAGAAGAAAAATAGCTGTACATGGCAGATTTAGTATGTACTTTGACATAAATAATATACTCTGTGGTCATACATGAACCTTTTCCTTCAACGTTTCCTTTAGTTAATACTAACTGCAAAATTAGTCTTCTTCTATAGAAAAATATAATTGATAATTGATAATATCAACTGATAATTGATATTGTACAAAGCTAGGAGGCTTGTAGGTAAATTACAAAGGAAAGAGGGAATTCTATTTGTGTAACTGAAAAGAAAAAGTCTCAACACATAATGAACTGAATATGTTTCCTGAGGGGATGACGGGGGCTTTTGTGCCATTCACAGAGGTGAGTGTATGGGGGGTGACTTCCACTCTTCCCACCCTCACCCATTCATGAACATTGTGATTTATATGAAAGGGAAGTAACTGACTGAGGCGCTGATAGCCTCCCTGAGGTTTGGTTATTTGATATTCTCAGAAGACCAGGTCTTTGCTGTTTTCCTCACAGGTGTTTGGCATGATACTAGCATGTCTTGATGATCTCAGATTTGTCTTTCTGGGTTTTTTAATTAGCTGCACTCTTATTAGCAATGGCTTCCCTGAACATCCACGACATCTCATCTCTGCCCCATGACTAACTGAATCACAACCTTAGGGCCAGCTCTCAGGAATCTGTTTCATGAAGGCCTCTTGTTGGTAGTGATTTCTTTCTCACAGTTGAGGACTCCATCACTGAGTGCACTTGACATAAGTATAGGTATAGTTCCCTAGCCAGTGTCTTCAAGTAGAGCATACAAGGAATTCCCTAGCCACTGTTCCCAATAGACAGCAAGAAGCTCTGCCTCTCATCAGCCACAGACACCTGGATCCTGAGCATCTGATCCACAGAAGGGAGAGGTATCTTAGCCTCTATATAAACCAGAGAATATTAAATGGGGCCACAAGGAAGACTATCTATCTATCTATCTATCTATCTATCTATCTATCTATCTATCCATCCATCTATCTACCTATCTATCTATCATCTATTTTGGAGGTTGTATTGGGCCTCCACTCCTGGGGACCTTTCAGCCAGAGCTTGAGTGAGTACCTCCTTGCTGATCTCCTTTAGTCTAGACCACATCTCCTCTCTTATCCCTTCTCGTGGATTTTGTAGTTACATGCTTGATGTACATTTTTTTTCTGATGCCTGTATGTCCATCCCAGGAGAGAAGGACCCACCCAGCATTGCTCATGCAGATACCCTATTTGTGCTGTTACACCCTGAACAAACTCTGCACTGATTGGATGGAAGCTTATGGCTCACCCTGCACTTGGAATTTTAAAGCCCAGGAGTTATGTGATGGTTGTTTGGCAATTATGATTGAGGTGAACAAGAACGGAACCAGAGCCTTTAGTTATCTGCACACGTTAAAACCAGTGCAAACTGAATTGCTTGTTAGTTGTTTGGACTGAAGAAAATTTTAGAAAAACATTAAGTCTATGAGGGCTAAAAAAACAGTACAAGAAACAGCCATATACTATCTCACTTAAGTTCAGCAGCTGTTGGTATAATCTGCTAATCCATTCCATTTCCCTTTGTCTCTGTTGGTCTCTCCTACTTTCTGTCTTTACACACACACGCGCGCGCACACACACACATACACACATACACACACACACTCCCCTGTCACCAAATAACCCAAAAGCAAATGGCACGCATGCTGACATGTTACTCCATATGAGCATGTATTCTTACCTAACCACAGCATGTTAATGAAGAAGCCTAAATGGATATCATCTTAGCACACTTGTTTATTAGAGGATCGTAGTTTATTTAACGTTTTTTTTTTAAATATTTATTTATTTATTATGTATACAATATTCTGTCTGTGTGTATGTCTGCAGGCCAGAAGAGGGCACCAGACCTCATTACAGATGGTTGTGAGCCACCATGTGGTTGCTGGGAATTGAACTCAGGACCTTTGGAAGAGCAGGCAATGCTCTTAACCTCTGAGCCATCTCTCCAGCCCTTATTTAACGTTCTTGATGATGGCAGAAACTTGAAAGCTGTTCACATCTAGCAAATCTTTGTTTGTATAGTAGAAACTTCATCACTTAAAAAACATTTCTAGGTTTATGTGTGTATGTATAATATATGCTACATGCATCGGTGTAGCCCCAGAGGACAGAAAATTACATATCGTTCCCCAAAGTTGGAGATTATGAGGCCCCCACACACGTGCGAAGAGAGCTGAACTTGGATCACCTTTAACAGAAAACTGTCAGATGCCTTGCTGGCTAGAAGAAGGTACAGAGAGTCTGATCTTTCTGGGCGCCGACTCAAAGGACAGGCGTTTTGAGTGGGCCACTATATCCTATCTTCACAATCTGACCTGTTCTTATATCTTGCAGCTGCGTAGGAGACGTGGCTCCACAGCTAGGCCCACAGTTGTCTCTTTCTGCCTGGGTTAGCAGAACTATTCCAGAATCAGTCAAACAGTCAGGGTGTGGCCTGCCCACATGTCTGCACAACCATGCTGTCTGGGACTTCAGAATGTGTTACGTGACAACTTGCCTACAGGTAGATCCTCCACCTGACTGGACGACCTCCACGTTACAGCAAGAACAGCTCTCTGGCAACTGTTCTGAGGCCCGTGTGATGGCCATAGAGGGACTGGCATGGGACCTCATGAAATAAGGTCCCCAGGGAGTGATCTTTCATGCAAGGTATAAATTCTTTTCATCTTGCCCTCTTCCCTTAAACACAATCTAAACTTTGCAAATATATTTCAATCAGTTGATCGTTAGATTCCTCAACGAAATGATTCAGGAGCCATGGCTAAATCCTTTGCATTCATTTTGATGGACCTGTTTTTTAAAATGCCACAACCACCTTAATGGATGCAACCCATTGATTACTATTCAGAAGTTAACTCCCTTAAAAAGCCATAGCGCCAGCAGCTACCATTCAACCAACTCCACTAACTGGCTATTTCTCATGCCAGTTTTATGATTTTTCCTTTTTCAGCAACAAAGTGTCCTTATGCCAAACCTCAAGGAAGTAAGGAGCAGGATGTTCTTAGTAATCAACCCCGCCCTCTCTCACCTGGAATCAGAATGCTGCCTGAGGCTAGTGCTTTGGCACATTTGAATATTAAATAACTCACCTGGAGGGGGGGCATCATTCTTTTAATGAGTGCATTCATGTTTTATAGCCTCAGAATGCATGATAAACATGCACTGCAGAGAATCTAAAAGATTTAGAGCCCTGGATTCCATACCCAGTACACACGGGCTACCGTATGTATGTCCTGTGGGTCATCAGTGCAGGTTTCAAGTAGAGTTTGGGGTCAGTTGCCAAAGGCTTCCCAGTCATTGGTTCCACTTGAAGAGGAAGGTGTTAAGGTTTGCCCTGTGGCATGTGGCGATTAATGAAAGAAGGGGCCTTGAATTAGCGAGAGAGCAAGGGTGTGGAGGGAGGGAGTCAAAGGAGAGATGACAACTATGTTATAATCTCAAAAAAAAAAAGATTCATCTTGTGATGGTTTGCAGAGGAATAGGGATCAGTGAAAAGCTGCTTACAAATGGCTGTGCACTCAGTAAGGTCTCAGGCACTGGGGACTTTCCCTCTCTGTTCCACACATGACTATTTGCCAAAGGCCAACCATGTGACTGTCTGACTTTATCTTCAGTCAGTGTAAACTAGCCATGTTCCCCTGAAACATTTCCTCCTGAGTTCATCCAGCGCCAGAAAACTGGCCTGGGCTTCCAGAATAAGGTGAGACTGAAAATTCTTTGTTAGTTCCACAACGGGATCATAGCGTCTGTTACCAGTATCCGTAGAGGATACCAAGTATATTAGTTGACTAGTTCAATGTTATTTGTACATGGGCACAGATACTTAATAAAATGTTACAGTATCTGTGCCCATGTACATTTTTTATTTAATAAAATGTTCCTTAGAAATCTCAGTGGTATCTGATATTCATAATTATGGGTGCCAATTTGTACAGGTGATATACAAGCAGCAATTACTCAGCTGCTGCCTGGGCAGCCGGGATAGGCTTTGTCTCAGCTCCCACAGCATCCAAGCATCACCCGTACTCTGTTAAAATTAGCCAGTGTTTGGTGCTGCAGAGTTGGTTCAGTGGTCAGAGTGGATGCCGCTCTTCCAGAGCACTTGAGTTTGGCTTCCGGCATCCATATTGGGTGGCTCACAACCACTTGTAACTCTCGCTCCAGGAGATTCAACACCCTCTCAGACCTCTGCAGGCACCCCCTCCCCAACACATGGCATTTACCCACACAATCACACACATAAAGAAAAATAATAA